AAACGTAGGGGAGGTTTGTGTTGTTTTAAAATTGTTTTCGGTGGAGATATCACCTGCGGGCCTTCAACCTCGATATCGTAATCGGTCCCGTGCACCAGGTTCCGCCCTCGCTTGCCAAGGTCAAGTCTGCAAATCAAATATCTAAAGTATCTCAGGTAGAGATATGGAGGGGATTTTGATTGAAATGTGATGTTCTTTGTCTCTAAGTAGGGCAAGGGGTTTGCATACAGTTGGTTTTAGGCTGAAGCTTTATTGTTGACACATCATACTATATGTACTCCGTACTAAACTTACTCTCATTGCTATATGAGGCTTTAAAATAGCTAATATGATGCTAAAATAATTCTAATCCGATCCTTTTTTATGTCCATATTATTTTCAGTAGTCATCTCCATTGCCCTTCTCAGCCTCTTGCTGCAAAACCTGCAGTTCCATCTTCTCAAAGCCCTCGACGGCCTGGCCATACTGTTCAAATACACCCTTTTGATACCCGTCCGCAATTTTCTCAATGAACTCATGCTCGTTCCACCGCTGCCCGATCAGGTCCTCAAACGTTTGACCGGGCTGTCGCTCGATACCCCAAACGGCCTTGTATGCAGCACCCAGGGCGCAGGCATTGTCGCCAACGTCGAGCGAATATACACCCTCAGCACCGCCGAGGATCTCACCAGCAATCTTGGCAATTGCCTTGTTCTTAGATCCTCCGCCAACGAGATAAACTCGGCGTGGCTGCGAGGGAAGTCCACCGCCAGGGCTCTGGGTAAGGTCTCGAGACCGCAAGCGACACGAAAGCAACTGGCTTTCGATGATGGCGCGGGCTTCGTCATGCGGCGAGTTCCATCCATCGGTCGTCTCTTTTAGATTTCCGGTGTTGGCATCGTATGTAAAGCGCCATTGGCCTTTAGGGATGTTTGGTACGATCTCGTGCCTCGGGAAGAACAGGCCCATCTTCATCGGGTCCGTTGGGCTCCGTTGGCCCAACGGGGCAGTCTGCAGCGCAACCTTGTCAAAGTTGGCCCAGGGCTGAGCAGGGGTATCCTTCAGGCTCTCATTGATCGCGTCTCGGACGTGCTCACGGGCCAGGCCACCGTTCTTATAGCACAGCATGAACATGTACAAGCCGGGGGTAGTAGGATGGTTGAAGAAGTGTGTGGCCGGATCGGGTTTGTAGCTGGGGGTGGACATGAGGAAGGTAGTAGAGGTACCGAGCGAAACCATTGCATCTGATGGCAGCAGTGGCAGCGCAAGAATGGTCGCCGGGTTATCCCCAGTTGCTGGAATAACTGTGCAGTCGGGGCTGAAGCCGAAACGCTCCACGAAGTATGCATGAACGGGGCCTAGGTGCAGGCCTCCATCTTCCGGTACCTCGCCGAGCTTCTGCTTGAGATCCTCAACTCCAAAAACACCCGAGCAGAGCTGAATCAGATGCTCGTCATACGCCCCTTTCTTGATGTTCCACAGGTTCATCCCGCACACGTCGGAGATGTCGAATGGGGCTACATGACCAAGGAAAAGCGATGCCAAGAAAGATGACACCAACGAGATTCTCGAGGTCTTCTTATAAACCTCGGGGTGTTTCCTTGTGAATCGGAGGATTTGAGGACCTGTGAATCTCTAATGACAGTGTCAGCACGCTCGCATATACTTAAGACCTCGATGGCTTCTTACGTGGTGCGCTTTGCTTCCAGTGGCCTGCGCCAAATGTTTGCGGTCGCCGAGAGCTGCGTCAAACTCGTCACATTCATTCTGAGTGCTCGAGTCTTGCCAATTGGGACTGTATGGGTGGGAGAAAGCGCCTTCCAGCTGTTCCTCGAGGGACTTGCTGGAATCTAGACTGCGGAGAAGCGACTCCGCATTCTGACCCCAATATACACTTCCGTGCTGCTGTCCTGCACCGCTAATTCCTTTCACGCGGCGGAAATCGAGGCCCTGCTTACGGAGGCTTTCTAGCACACCGTCTAATGCCTGCAGCCACAGAGCGACCGGGGCAAACACTTCATGTTCGGCTTCATTGCTCAGAACGCCCTTTTTGATCGGGAACCCCTTCGAGTCGGCATCGAAGTCGAATTTGGCAACATGGACCACTTTAAGGTCGGAGTTGACAACTAATCCCTTCAATTGCTGCGTGGAGAGATCGAATCCAATGTAGAGGGGGCTGTCTGATGCCATGGCGGAAGAGATACAATTCCAGGCAATAGAGTAACAGGAAAGATAAACTAAACTGGGATTCTTCAAAATTTAGGCAAAAATGACTGAAAGATCAATGGATGAATCCGAGAAAAGAAGTGTAGAAGTGCAAACGGCAAGATTCCCCTAGGGACAGGTGGGATGAATCGATGATGTAAAGGGACTATAACCGGTCCCGGGTTTCTATGGGCTCTTTGCATCCTCTTACGATTCCTTTTATAAGCGGAGTATACTTGAAAAAGTGGGAAAGTGAACACCGAGGAACCAATTGGGGTAAGCTTATGATCCAGGAATGTCAAGTCAAGCCCGAGAAGGGTTTGCCGGGTAAATAGTAGCTGTTGCTCTGCTAAATTCTCGGTAGAATAGAGAAATGCCCCACTATACACTCCGTACTAGTCATATTGTATGTTACATGTTTTATCTGATATATCTGTTATATTGTAGGACTTGTTTTATATTCAACCTATACGACGTAGATCTCGCATCCAAGGGTATCATTGCAGAGTTTCTATCCCTATTGCTGCTTTCGAACATGGGGTGTCTCCGGGTCACCACTAACATCTCGTGCGACGAATTCATCCGAGAATGTGAGGTCCTGATGTTCCGCGGGAATGAAGCGGACCTTGATGCGCTTCACACCACGAACTCCAGATCCAACAGCCTGGCGAACAACCTCTTCGATGTGTCGTGACCGACTAATAGCCCAGGCCCCTGGCACAGCCAACTCAATGTCCATTAAGTAGTTTTGACCGGATTTCATGCCCTGCACATCACGAACAATCACTTCGTGTCCATCCTCAATATCCTTCAAGGCCTTGGAGGCGGCATCCTCCACAGAGTGTCGGATTTCCTCATCGACCGTAGTATCCGCCAACTCCAAAAGAGAGGTACATGTGTTGCCCCAACCGGCTTTGATGACCATTAAGGAGATCAGGACCCCGCCAACTGGATCCAGCCAGGTGGCGTCTTGGAAGACATAACTTCCTCCAATTGTGAAAAGGGCGACGATACTCGTCAGGGAGTCGATGCGGTGGTGAACAGCGTTGGATGCAAGCACGGACGACTTGCGCTCTTCGGCAACCTTCATGGCTGGGATATAGTTAGTCACCTGATGGATACCAACACCAAGGTCCCTGTATCTCTTCACTTACTAGCATGGTAAAGCCACTCCTTAACCACAATCGAGCCTGCTGCGATCCATGCCGCGTGGATGCTGGGACCGATTGGCCCATGACTGTGCGAATGACCATGTCCCAAAATCCCGGAGTGAGCTACTGTTTCAGCCGCCTCCGGGTAGAACTGAGCTAGTAGGACCTGTCCCGCGTTGAGACCCATAAACACTCCTCCGCAGAGCAGTAACCCACTAACTCCTAGCGCACCGATGCTCTCGATTTTTCCATATCCATTGGGGAATCGTTCGCTCGGGGGTTTCAGGGACCAGGCGACAGTTCCCAGAGTCAAAAAGTCGGAGACGAGATCAGTAAGCGCGTGGTAGGCGTCGGCGATGAGGGATTGAGAGTTAAAGACATAACCGCCAATGAATTTTCCAATTGCCATGCAAAGATTAGCAACGAGACCAATCCGTGTAATGCGGACTCCAGCGTCGTGTTTGTTTGTGGAGGTCAGGTAGGTATTATCGTGATGGTGGTGGTGACCGTGGCCGTGGTTATGGCCATGATCCCTAGTTTGTGTCATAGCGAAAGATGTCGATCGTGAGATGGAACGAGGTCTGGAGTGAAAAACAAAGGAAGAAGTGTCTTTTAAAAAAGGAGAAGTAAATATACGCCGCTGGGCAGTAAGTGATCTGAGGGAGCGTAAGTGGAGAGGACGAAGCCTGCATAGGGGCTGCGTCAGCGGCATCGCGTCGAAGGCACGCGAGCACAATGAAAGGATTGGACAGAGTGGTCTTTTCGGTGTGTAGTTCAAAGACGGGGATTTTAGTTTTTACATCTCTGAAAGATCAGATGTCTAGAAGGGTGGGATGTTCATGTCATCCGGCAATTCCTTGATTTTCCGTTTCCAATCTGCTTGCATTTCTCCCACCCCCCCGTCTCCATGACTCGTATCGATCCCTTTGAATCGGACTACTCCCACCTATCAGAATCCTTTTTTATCAATTCTGCATACTAGTATACATAATCTTTGACGAATCTTGAAGCTTACGTTCTTACGCTGTGTCAAGCATCCAACTAGATACGCAATCGTTGGAGAACCTCCACTTCCGTTCCGCCAAGACAATTTGTGGACGTATAATGGTGCGTCTTCAATGACGACGCCTGCCATTCGGATCCCCTTCACGGGACCATTGCCGCCTGCTGTAATAATCCCTCGAACGGCAACAACTCTTGCAGGGGCAGTTGAGGCTATCAAGACTTTCTTGACTACGCCACCGTCCTTAAATCTCCGCGGGGTCGATGTGGGGAGATATTCCCAGACGGTACTACTGACTGGCGCAGGTATCTCCGTCGCGTCTGGTCTGTCAGATTATCGAGGCGACCAGGGTACCTACCGGCTAAACAAATCCTATCGTCCGATTTACTACCACGAGTTCATCTCCCACCATGAGTCGCGCCAGCGGTATTGGGCGCGCAGCTTCGTCGGATGGCCCGGGCTTGTGAAAGCAAAGCCGAACTCGACACACTGGGCGGTTAAAGGTCTTGGTGAGAAAGGATACATCAGTTCCGTTGTGACGCAAAACGTCGACTCGTTTCATTCCCTCGCGCATCCGGAACTGTCTACCCTCGAACTACACGGATACTTGCGATCGGTCGTCTGCACTAGCTGTCGAAACCAACTTCCCCGCGCTGACTTTCAAGCGTCGCTGGAGAAACTCAATCCAGCTTGGGCGGAATTTTTGGTTCGTATAGTTGCAGAGGGTGCGCTCGATACCGATAATCCGGAGGAGCAACGGCGGAAAGGCTTGAAGCTCAACCCGGATGGTGACGTTGATCTTGCTGAAGCGCCATATTCTACTTTCCGTTATCCTTCATGTCCGACCTGCTTGGAAAACCCTCCAACGCTGAGCGATGGCACGAAGGCGATTGTAGAGGTAGAGAGTGACGGTGCATTATCGCCGGCTTCAAACGCTGGCATTTTGAAACCAGCAGTCATCATGTTTGGTGAGAATATCGACCCACTGGTGAAGACAGCGGCTGAAGAGGCGATCGATGATGCTGGGCGGCTACTCATCTTAGGCACCAGCCTAGCGACTTTCTCAGCGTGGCGCCTAGTGGAACGAGCACACAAACGAGGCATGCCTATTGGTATTGTCAATGTTGGTGGCGTGAGGAACGAAGCCCTGCTTTTTGGAAATGTTGGACATGAAGGCACTGCTCATGTCCGGTGCAGCCATCCATCCCAGTCAATCCTTCCGACCGTTGTATCCCAACTTCCAGTCAATGCATAGATTTAGAGAATCAGATGAAAATATTCTATCATAAGGTCATTGTGAATCAACACAATTACAACAAAAAATAAAGATAAATTAAGAAAGGAGAATATAAGCGCCTGCTACCTCAGGCCAAAAAAAGAAAAAGGCCAAGTCTGATAAGTCCCGGCTGAGCGCGGGGCTCCTCCCTCACGTCTCAGCATGGAGCACTTGAGGGATCCTGCAGCCCACCCTTTAAAGATCGCCTCGAATCTGGTCTCTCCTGATCACTTTCTCTTCCATTCTAAACTATCGGGGCCACCGGCTTCCAAAGTTCCACAGAAAATGGACAAATCTCAGCAACCCAGTTCCTTCCAGCAGCTGGAAAAGGTATGCCTTTCTAGTTACTGCCGGGTCTTGGATTTTCACTAACTGGTATTCGTCTTATTTCTAGCTCGGCGAAGGCACTTATGCTACCGTATGTATCGATCTCTCTCGATATCTCTCTCTCTCCGCTTCTCCCCCCCCCCGGCTCGTAGCTTGATCGCCACTCTCCCCCATTCACCGCTGATGCAGAATACTACAGGTCTTTAAAGGGCGCAATCGCCAAACCGGTGAAATGGTGGCGCTGAAGGAAATTCACTTAGATTCGGAGGAGGGAACGCCATCGACTGCAATCCGTGAGATCTCGCTCATGAAGGAGCTGAAGCACGAGAGTATTGTCTCGCTCTACGATGTCATCCACACGGAAAACAAACTCATGCTTGTTTTTGAGTTCATGGACAGAGATTTGAAGAGATACATGGACACCCGCGGTGACCGTGGACAGCTGGATCCTGCCACAGTGAAATCTTTCATGCACCAGCTTCTCAAGGGCATCGCCTTCTGCCATGACAACCGAGTCCTCCACCGCGATCTGAAGCCACAGAACCTCCTGATAAATAAGAAGGGCCAACTCAAGCTGGGTGACTTTGGATTGGCACGCGCATTCGGCATCCCGGTTAATACATTCTCCAACGAAGTCGTCACTCTGTGGTACCGCGCACCGGACGTCCTCCTCGGGAGTCGCACCTATAACACCAGCATTGACATCTGGTCCGCTGGCTGCATCATGGCAGAGATGTACACGGGCCGTCCACTTTTCCCCGGCACCACCAACGAGGATCAGTTGATCAAGATCTTCCGTCTGATGGGCACACCATCCGAACGTACATGGCCCGGCATCTCGCAGCTGCCAGAATACAAGTCCGACTTCCAAATCTATGCCACGCAGGATCTGTCGCTGATCATCCCCCAAATGGATGCTATCGGGATGGATCTGTTGAACCGTATGCTCCAACTCCGTCCAGAGATGCGCATCAGCGCCAACGAGGCCCTGCAGCACCCGTGGTTCCATGATCTGCCTCAGATCCAAGCTAAATTGCAGCAGCAACACCAGCAGCAGCAGCAGATGGCTGGATATGGAGGCATGATCCCCCCGCAGCCCGCTTATTAGCGGTCTAGACTGCGCATGACGAGATGACGAGCTCAATTAGACAATTGGACATGGGAGAATTCGGCGTTATACCCGATGATGGATATTTTTGCTCTCTTTTTTTGCTTTTTTTTTCAAACTTGATATTGCGCATTTTGGGCCAGTTTTTTCAGAGATGAGGAGTATCTGGCCTGCTTTGAGATGGATTGACTTCGCAACACTGTTCTGTTGTCTTGATGATGCTCTGAAGCAGCGCTCCAGATGTTATCAAACATTCTGCCTGTTGTCTTCTAAATAGCTATTCCTCAGGAAATTCATTCTATCATCCACCCTAAGCTGATATTTATTAACACGCAGAGCGAGACATGTGAAACAAGCGCTTGGGCCTAGTTCGAATGTCCCCGTTGGAACTGCAATCCTCGGGAATATCTTGACTTGTTGCTGCAACTGGTTCTTTATCCACCAGCCAAGGATTTTCGGGACGAACAAGCTCATGGCTGCTACACTGCGCTTTGTTATTAAGTACCCAACCGTAAGTACTTAGAGCAACCCTTTCGAGAAGGCATTCGTTGCTGTTTGAATGTGTGATGCTTGCCCGTTCGGAGAAATCTTACAAACATGCAGTCACCCGTATTTCAATCTGGTCTCCTACAACGACTAATGAGCTGTGAAAACATCGGGGGGAAACAGTGATGCTAGTGTCACACACGGGCGAACTGATTTTAGGATTTCACAAGGCCCCTAGAATATTGTCACTGTTGTACACTTGGCATATCCAGATTACTTCGCCTTCAAACGTCGTTAGACCCTAACAGTTACGACAAAGACTGCCCACCTAAACAATGACTCTACTCATTGGTGCAACCCAAGGGCTATGCCTCCGAGGCTTGTCTATACAGACCAAAACTGGTCCCTTATCCAATCCCCTACCTATATCACGAATCCCGGGAGATTGCACGTTGTGGTACCACCCAAACTGGAATCGTTCGCATGTCTTGGGGAGTACCGGTTTGAGCCCTGTCCCATGCGGTGTTTGAGACGAAATCATTTAAAAAATCTTGCTTGGTTCTTACTCCTATTCTTGGCAGTTGTTTGAACCTAATAACTGCCAGGACCGCGCCCTCTGTTGCATGGCCCGGCATCAGGCTGGCATCTTCCTAGCTATAGGCCGATGGGAATAACAGCAATATGCTGATTGGCCTGACCTTGCCTTATCCGTCGTTTGGCTTTTTTTACCCTTTCTTTGTTGCCCGTACGGATAATAAGCAGGTGGTATTGTGCTTTGGTCGTATCTGCCTTTGCCTTCTGTTTCAAAGGTGAACTATAACGCGAAAATACGTCCCCCGCTGGTAGATCTACGATCATCTGGATCCTCGATCTGTCACAAGCCAACTTGGCTTTTTGAACCACAAGGATCTTCTCGGTTCATATCTGCTGTTGGATATAACCTTCAGGCGCTGGAAGTTCTCCCCCCTCGCGACTAGGTCAGGTCATAGACCATGATACCATGACCCTGTCAGAACAACAAATATTGGCCATCTCGGCCACAGAGCGTGTTTGCTCGACTATCTCCCTAGTCGGCACTTTTGTTATAGTCGCTACTTTTATCTGGTCCCCCACGTTCCGTAAACCCATCAACCGCTTGGTGTTCTATGCATCATGGGGTAACATCATGGCTAATATAGCCACTATCATATCGGCAGACGGGACTCATTCTGGGGTTGATAGTTCCCTGTGCCAGTTCCAAGGGTTTTTGATTCAATGGTTCGTGTGAAGTTGGGAACTAAATGCCCCTTAATACATGACCACTAACAAGCAAGGATAGGTTCATGCCCGCCGATGCACTATGGACATTCGCAATGGCATGCAATGTCTACCTAACATTCTTCCACAAATACGACTCCGAGCAACTACGCCGGCTCGAATGGAAATACGTGCTCTGCTGCTATGGTGTTCCGTTCATTCCAGCTTTCGCATTCTTCTTCGTCCAGACCCAAGCCCGAGGCCGGATATATGGCTCCGCCATCGTAAGCAGAACCATAAAGCCTTCCCTTCTACCAATCTATACTAATCCGATCACCATCCGACAGCTCTGGTGCTGGATCTCTGTACAGTGGTCCTTCCTCCGCATCGCCATCTTCTACGGACCAGTCTGGCTCATTATCTCATTGACCTTCGCCATCTACCTAAGAGCAGGGACGGTGATTTACCAGAAACGGCGCCAGCTTCGGAACCTCGGCGGTATCGACTCAGATCTTGTCCCAGAATCTCCCTTTGCTATGTTGACCGGCATCCAAGTAACCAGGGAGATTGCCTGTTCTACTCCAGAGCGTCGGTCCTTGTCGGAGGGCAATGCGCGCGGGTTGCCGTCTGCTGCATTCAGAGCATACTCGGTCACGATCGAGGGCGGGAGTACTGCCAACACATTGCAAGATTCCAGATCAAAAATAGGTCCCAGTCCTCTTCACCGGGAGAATTCTGGCAAGACCGCGCGGCCGGATGGACTGGACTCGCGGAGGTCGACATCCACGGAAGCTAGTTCGGCTACTTGGGCCTATACGAAATACGCTATGCTGTTTTTCATTGCATTGCTTGTTACATGGGTAGGTCTAGTCGAAGCCCATTATAGTCTGAAAACCGTTCTCGGTTCTTTTCGTGTGTTGATTTGTTCGACATTGCAGGTCCCCTCGACGATAAACAGAGTCTATTCCCTGGCTCGTCCTAATGACTTTAATTTCAGTCTCAACTATGCATCTAGCTTCGTCCTTCCACTCCAGGGCTTTTGGAACAGCCTTATATACATCTCTATCTCATGGCCCGCATTCAAATTACTTTGGTCTGACCTCCATAGCCGCGTATGCTCGTGGCGTATACCCCGTCCGGTGACGAATGTACAGTCCTTCCATCTACGGAAAGGCTCTCAAAGCTCAAGTCCTGCTCTTTTGGTGAAAGCTGAGAATGAGGACAGACGCCGAAGTTGGCTGGGCTTAGATCCATCAAGTTAGGGCTAGGAGGTGGTTGATAGCGAATGCCTCATTTTCATTGCAATATCTCTTATGCACTACTATGTAATCAATATAACCATATTAGCAGCACCATATAGCATTCAACAGAGTAGAAAGATTCGAAAAGAACCTTTCAAACATCGATGTAATGTACCCCGATCTATATAAGCATATAAGCACGTGACCGGCGCGTCGCGTTGAATAGTCCAACGAACACCCCAGACCCAAATTCCTAGAGAACCACAAACAGCCTCCTGCACGCCACTCTCTCCGGAGCTGCACGCTCTTCATTATCTCTCACACCTCCGACTCCATCCCAACGACAGAAACATCCACCATGGCCGAATCCAACTCCCACCAACCGCCCGCCGCGTCGCCGTCCCCTCCCCCGCCAGCTCCAATCTCGCAATCCCCGGGCCCGCGCGCCTCACGTCTAACCCAAGTCTTCGAGCAGGCTCTGGCACGCACGCTCCGCGCAAACTCGTATGCGAACTTTGCAGGCTGTTTCCCGACACCTGCGCGCCATGTTCCTGCCAGCTTGGAGGGTGTCTGGCGGCAGCTGAACGCGAAGCTGGAAGCAAATGCCAAAGCTGAGTTTGATGATATTGTCGCAGAAAGGGATGCGGTGGCGCATTTGAATGAGCTTGATCGGCTGGTTGGGGATGCGAGGGCTAGAAAGGAGCAGGAGGGGGAGAATGCTGAGGGGGAGGAGAGAATAGTGTATGTTGAATGTATTTGGTCGTCTTTTCGGGCTATGTTTGTTTTGTCTTTTTGGTTCTGACTTCTAACTTTGTTTACTATACAGCCCGCATACACTCGGCGCCGAAGATCTGTACAAGGCGCACCTTACACCCTATCTGCAGGAAGCGCAGTCGACCCTAAACGCCAGACTAGAGGCTATTCATGCAGAAAACGCGGAGCTCGCGCAGACTGTGCAGGCGCAAAGGCTGGAAATTGAGCGGCTATTGTCGCATCTTGGATTGGTCGTTTCGGATATTGAGGGTGCTGCTACGGCGGCCACCCAATTCAGCAGACAACATCACATTCGCCAGGACGCGATCCAGATGGATGAGGAGGCGAAAGCCCGTCCGGGTCTGTGAGCTTGTTGCGGAAATTGTTTCTCTATCCGATTCATGATGAGATCAGGGCACTCAGTTCTCTGCCGTCAACCATTCCGTCTTCCACCATATCCTGCGCCACGACTATCACCTGTTGGAGGTCCGTTGACTTGAGCTGCTCGAGCTTCGTGTTTTGGCCTTCGATCGCTGCGGCAATTGCCTCCTTGCAAGTTCCGTCGCGTTCTTCCTCGGCCGCTCCGTCGCGGCGGGCCAGAGCTGTTGCTCCGCGATAGTACGTCTGAGCGTTGCGCAAGAGCATAGCTCCGTTCTGCTTCGCCATGGCGTGGTTCCAGGGCGCTCGTCCCAGACGCCATCTGTGCATCTCCACGTCTCCGCGTCCAAGGTGGATCTTGGGCAGGTTGTCGGCATCCGGGAGCTTGGTAGCAGCCGTCAATGCATCCAGGGCGGTTGAAAGCGACTTCCAGCGCAATGCTACCGCGTTCTCGAATGCCTCGTCATCCTCCGATGGGGGGATTTCTGAAAGCGCCTGGTTCAACGACGTGAGCGCATCTGCTTTGCCACATAGTCCTGCAGGGTCCGCGGATACATCCAGCTCCGGACTAAAAACATGTCCAACCTCCTGCTGGTAGGTCTGAATATCAGTATGTCCGCCTCGGTAGAGCAAATCGTTCAAGGCACAGATGAACTTTGCGCGCGCTAAGGCCGCCTCATACTGTCTGTCCGAACCTTCGGCATAAGCAGGCAGTCGCGACTGCACAAGCTCCGATGAGTACTCTTGCACCCAACCAACGCCGCCGGCACCGGGGTTAGAAGTCAACAAGTTGCACAGAGTAGTCAAAGTCTCCAGCTGCGCCACTGCCGTGTCCACGAGCGTATTTTTCGTGACGGGCTCCACAATCATCGCCCACTGTTCTTGTTCGTCGCCTGCGGACTCAGCTTGGGACTTCTCCGCAGCCTGTGGTACAGCCTCCGGCTCCGGTGGCACATCCCCGGATTCCATCAGTTCGATCTCCTCTTGCATTTCCGTGTACTTCATCTCCTGTACCATCAGACACCGCTGGAACAGCTCAATTGCCTCCTGAAGGTAGGTGCCCGCCTGCATCTGCTGTTCCTCGTCGGGGTGCTTCAGGTTAGACATCAACTCCGCTAGACTGGTCAGCACCTGGCCCGAATTGAACAACACGTCAGCATTGTCCTGCTCCAAAGCCAGCGCATCCCGGTGTGACTGCAGCGCAACCTGCAAGATCTCCCCCTGTGGCGCTGTCAACTGGGCCGCTAGTTTGGGGTGCTGGGTGATTTCATATTGGACTCGTGCTCTGGGTTGGCGTGTTAGTAAAAGCTAAACTTGAAACAATACCTCTCGATCATGGGCGAAATTGAAAAGTGCAAGCAATGGCTTGTTCCGATGTCGGTTCCAACTATACATACTTGTTGTAAGCTAGATCAAATGTCCCGGGATGTTTCTGTAGTCCTTCGTCATAGTTGGTGATGGCCCGCATAAAGAAGCGCATGGACTTGGCCGCGTCTCCGGCCCGCCATTTCTCGCCGGCTTCTTCTAGCTCGACGCCGGCTGGGGAGGTAGTTAGTTTTTCTTTTTACTGTTGATATTATTGGCTTATTGACGAATGCAAACCTGCAAGAAAATCATCTGCAGTCACAGGTACCTATATCAAAATGTATGAGATCATGACCAAGCTGTTCTGTGCGGGGTATACCTAACACATACGTGTTTTGAGGCAGCCTTCTTCTTCGTCTTTGTCTCCCTGAGGAAGGATTTCGGCTTCGGCATATCTGCAGGAACGCTGTTGATTGAATTGAATGAGAACCGACAAAGATGGCTGTGTCTTGAAATTCAAGTAAATCCGGCAGAATCTGCGCGGTGTGTGACGGACGGAGCATACTTATCGCTTTCACCTGCTTTCACCTCGAATACATCTAACAATGATAACGATGGTTATTGATTCTGGTGGGTCTGGGGTCTAATACTTGTTATTTTGTGGTAAAAGACTTCAACTATAGAATGTGCGAGTGAAAGACTCTCACAGCAGCCTGGTCCTTCAAAACTGCATGGATGCCAAGACTACCTAGGTAGATGACTGTTGGTGTAAGCGGATTTGTTTCATGTTATTTTATTGTTTTGAATATTGGTACCTTGGGTTGCAAAAGGAGGTCTGTGTTGTGTGTCCGTGTAAAGATGACACTTGTATAGGCCGAGGTACTGTCCCTTGCTGCTATAGTACCTACAATATATGTCGATGGTAAGTAATCTATTAATCTAGCCAAGTTTCATTCTCACCTCATTATTACAATATAAAATACGACTACGATAGAGTCACTAAAAGTTAAAGTATCATATAGTAGGACCTAATCCCCTATATGAAGTACCTTAAGTACTTGCCGAGATGATCGGCTCGCGTGGCAGCACGTGGCAAAGATATTCCTGGTAAAGCTTTCTTGACATCAGAAGAAGGGAATTTCAATGATTCCGAGGTTATTATTGATCAATGAGTTCTGATTTGTGTATAATCATAATATATATCCACCTTTTGAAGTTACATTGCCTTACTCTGTTTAATGCACATCTTACGATTACGTCGATCTTTCCATAAAAAACCCTTCCACCCCTTTCCCGCCACACATTGTCTTTCCCCACCACTTTGACCCACCCCGTTTCGTCTTCTCCTTTCTGTGACTCTATTTCTACTCCTGCACTGCATTGGTACCTTTGCGCCTGGTTCCAACACATCCCCTTCGACGGAGTACCCTGAGTATGTATCCCTTGGAAGTTCAAGATCGCCGCTTGGAAGTGATACCCGCTAACAAGCCAATTCTGCAGGCTGTATTCCATTCCAGGCCTTCCTAGACCTACAACTTGGAACCCTGCCCCTCTTTCGGCGCAAGTCCTCTTCTTTATAACCATATCACTTCCCGGAAATGGCCCGCCAACCCTCTCTCGACTCTGAGCGTCCCATCATGGCTCAATCGGTAGGGGTTCCTCCCCTTCCCATCCACATACTCTGCCCACCCTAGGGCATTTGCATTCACGTTAGTGAAAATCTGACCTGTAGCCTGTTGCAGAACCGAAACTCGAAGCGATTCTCCACTGTCAGTGGAAGCCCCTCGTTGGCTGCCTCTGATCGCACGAACGGCACTCTCCCCAGCGGCGACCCCAGAATTGCTGATATCTTCCACCTTCACGATGGCTTCGAGCGCCTGGAGAGCAAGCCTCTTAACAAGCAGCGGTTCGTCCCCACAGAGGAGAAGTCGAACAACCTGAACAAACTCGCTCTCGGGGCCAAGGTTGAGCGCGCTCTAGGCCGGAGGATGACTGGTCAAGACGCTGTCATGCGCAAGCCTCTCTCTGAGAAGGCTGAGGCGTCAACTGGCTCGCCCTGATGTTGATGATACATCTAGGAGGCACAGGACTTGCCATGTGCTTTGTTCGCTGCATGGTTAATCAGTCTCTGGTTGTTCGCTTGTTTCTTGTTCCTTATTTCTGCTTTTTTCCCGTCTTAACATCCGAGCCTCTATCGACACGGCTCTTATGATTGCTGTCTTTTTTTTTTTACAGTCACCCTTTCATGTCCTATCATACCCCTCTTCTCTTTTTTCTTCGGATCAGTTTGTGGCGTTTTGACTTGATGAGATGTGCATTATTTCCTTGAGTATGAACTTCCGGATCTGGTATTTTCTGTTCTCTTATTTCATTGCTTGACCGTCGCGTACCTTGAATTATCATGAGAAATTTCCTCAACTTCACCTATATTCATATAATTCCTAACAATATCATCCTTGTATACTACGTTGTACTACGATTATCGAGACAAGAGTAGTCGGCCGCTCATGCGGCCTATGCCCTTCATGACGTAGGGAATAATCTGATCTACTTAGGCCAAGATGATATTAGAGGCGTTATATGTAAATACACACCGATGTACTTTTGGAAGTCCTTTTTATATGCCCTTTCAGATGTGTACGAAGGCGGTAGTTAACTAGCCCTGGTAGAGTGACTAATTATCGAGGAGCAAACGTCACTGACGAGTAGTTTTCTAGTTAGCTCAAGCTCTGCCAATATATGAAGGCCCAGTTGTTCGTCCACTTAAATAGACAATACGTGCAAATGCAAATTGAAAGAGTCGGAATTTGATTTGGAAATACCTAGTATATAGAGAAAGGCTATAAACAAGTACTGAGTATCGGCACATTCTGCCGGGCGGTGTCCATCTGCCAAGCCCACGCGAAACCCGCACGAAGTCAAAGAGAAGGAAGTTCTTTTCTTCGAAGGCGAATTCCCACAGCTTCATTCCATCTCTTTTCTCGTTGCCCATTTCCTACCTGACTCTACCCGCCTCTGTCCATCTTCCAGACCCACATTTTCTCGATCTTTCTCATCTTTCTCTCAACCCTCCACATCTCCCTCTCCGCCATCGGAAGAACTCTTTCTCACTTCCAGCTATACTTCCCGCTTTTCTGCAATCTCAAAGCGCCTTTCTTCTTTCTATTCTTTTCGTGCTTTCTTTCTATCCTCTTCAATTGCTTGCATTGGTTCCATTTCGCATCGTGAGTTCCGATCTACCATGTCCAATCCGACCACATGGTCAAAACCTCGAAACTAATGAGCATCCAGTGAAGCGAGGGAAACACGAACATTTCATTTTTTTTTTAGACTTCATCGCTTGCTTCTTAAAAAAAGCCTTTATAGTCTTGGCCATCATTTTCGCCGCGCTCGGTTACTTTTAATCTCATTTTCCACCCGAAACCGAAGATAAAACCCCCTCAATCCTACGCCATGGCCGACATGACTCAGGTTCCCATCAATGGCAACTACCCTGCCCAGCACGGTTACCCTGAGTCCTACAACCATGCATCTGTCACCATGAACACTGCTGCCAGCTTTCAGCCTGCGCAGTCCTCCACCCCGACTACCGTCACTCCCACCGACCAGCAGAAGAATGAGATCTCCAAGGATGAGGTGGGCTGGTATTTTGTCGAGCAGTACTACATCACCATGAGCCGCAACCCCGACAAGCTTCACTTGTTCTACTCTCGCCGCTCTCAGCTGGTCTTCGGCACTGAGGCTGAGTCGGTTCCCGTCGCCGTTGGCAGTAAGGTAAGCTTGATTCGATCCCTCAATGTGAATGCTATCTAACCAAGCTCCCCCACTTTCACAGGCCATCAACGAGAAGCTTAACTCGTTGAAGTTCCAGGACTGCAAGGTGCGCGTCCTGAACGTTGATTCTCAGGGGTCTTTCGACAACATCCTGATCTCAGTCATTGGTGAGATCTCCAACAACTCGGAGCCGTCCCGCAAGTTCGTGCAGACTTTCGTCCTCGCTGAGCAGCCCAACGGCTACTATGTTCTTAACGATATCTTCCGCTACATGCATGAAGAGCCAGAAGAAGAACTCGAGCAGCCCGCCCCGGCTGCGCCTGCTGCTGAAGCCCCTGAGGCCGTTGCCGAGGTTCCCGCTGAGGAGCCCCAGGTGGTTGATGAAGTCGCTATCTCCCATGTCGATGAGAAGCTTGAGGAGGTTCAGGCAAATGCTCAGGTTGAGGAGCCCAAGGAGGCCGCTCCCCAGACCAACGGCGCCCCCGTTGAGGAGACCCCAGCTCCGGTTCCTGCCGCCGAGGCTGAGATTGTGAACGAGGAAAAGCCTGCCACGCCTGAGCCCACTCCTGTTCCTGAGAAGGAGGAGGTTTCTGAGAAGGAGACCTCAGCCACTCCCGCTGCCCCTAAGACCTGGGCTAGCATTGCGACTACCTCTTTCGCAGCTAAGGCCGCTGCTGCCGCCAAGGCCTCGGCCACCCAAGCTGCTCCTACTTCTCAGGCTGTCCCTACTGCTCCTAAGGCTGCTGCTCCCGCTGCTCAGGCTGCCCCTGCCGCTCAGCCCGCTGCTGCCACCCCCGCCCCCGCGGAGCCTGCTCGTTCCCAAGAGGCCCCTTCCACCGAAGCCGGATGGCAGACCGCCGGCGATGGCCACAAGAAGTCGCAGCCACGTGCTGAGGAGACTGTCCTCGCCTATATCAAGAACGTCAACGAGAAAGTCGATGCCAGCCTGCTTAAGCAGACCCTCGCTCGTTTCGGCAAGCTGAAGTACTTCGATGTCAGTCGCCCCAAGAACTGCGCCTTTGTTGAATTCAACGAGCCCTCCGGTTATACCGCTGCCGTTGCTGCCAACCCCCACCAGATTGGCAGCGAACAGATCCTCGTTGAGGAGCGCCGCCCTCGTGGCAACGCCTACGGCAGCAACAGCTACCCCGCCGGCCGTGGTGGAGGTGCCGGTCGTGGTCGCGGTGACCGCGCCGGCAGCCAGGGCCGTGGTGGCTTCCAGCGCGAGGGCCGTGGCAGCTTCACTCCCCGTGGCCGCGGTGGAAACGTTGCGGCCAAGGGTCGCCCCAGCCAGGCCCAAGCTGCGTAAACATTTAAGTGATTTTGATGATCCTACGTTCTTCTTCCCCGTCGGTGTCACGTCTCTCACAAATCTTGTGAGCATTTCTCCGCCGGATGATCTTCTCAGGATCTGTATTACTCCAATTTTGATTCTCTTTTTTCTTTTGCCCCGTCTCTTCCTAATGACATGTGTTACGTGACTATTGCCTCCCCCCTTTTTTCCCCGTCACAGTGCATATTAGCGGTTGGTCCGGGTTGGCTGGAAAAGTTGCGTCTCTTTCCTTCCCTCTGGGCACTTGTGTTTTAACCTGACCTCTTTTTCTTTTTTTTTGGGATCGGGTTTCGTCTTCGACGTTCACGATTCTCTTTTTTTTTGCACCATATTCCTTTCTTCCAGTGTCTTCTGCCATGATCTGTTCCTTGCTCCTTTTTGCAAGACGTTATATCGCATCTTTTTTTTAACTAGCATAGCAAACTCCAGGGTTTTACGGTGGTGCGCCATCCCGGTCTTTCTTGTATTTTGCTTCTTTTTTCTTGGCTATGAGGATCCGTTCTCTTTCTGATGTGTAAATGAGATATTCTCAGGGGGAATTACAACTGTATCATGGGATGATGAGCCTACCAAATATGGATTAGAGAACAATGAATATCCAAATTGCTATATATCGCATGTACTATGTCCACCAAGATTGATACCTGGGGACCTCCCGGGGGCTTACCTAATTCTGCGATGAGTCGACGAGTCATCCGGGGAAGATTCTAGAGTTTTGATGCCTGAGGCCCTCCAAGCTTGGCCACTGCAAATGTAGAGAAAGAAAGAGGTAAAAGCTACAAACTGGGGGAAAGTCGAATAAGTCGTTCCAAAGAAGTAAAAGCAAAGGCAGAAGAGTCTAGAATAATATCGAGAGAGCTGCAGGGGTTGCCTGAACGACATGGAAGTTGCTGGATCACCGTAGAAACTCTCCACCAGAAATTTTTGGAAACACAAAAGGAACTGGCCCGCCTCTTCGACTCTTTCTCTTCATCTCTCCTCTTTGCTTTGGTTCCTCTCCCCCCCAGAGCTTCTTCTTTTTAATTACTTTGCTTTCTTGTAAGATATAAATCCCCCCTTGTGCTTCTCGTCACCGCTTCCAACTTCACCCCACCCCCACCGCTTGATCAGACTCTGCATCTGCATCTCTCCGCATATTCCTCAATTGCGAGAAATTAATCCTTTTCTAACTCGTCTTTCAGAATTACAATCCGCCATCATGTCTGAGACCTTCGAGTTCCAGGCTGAAATCTCTCAGCTGCTCTCGCTGATCATTAACACCGTCTACTCCAACAAGGAAATTTTCCTTCGTGAGTTGATCTCCAACGCCTCCGATGCTCTCGACAAGATCCGCTACGAGGCTCTCTCCGACCCCTCTAAGCTCGATTCCAACAAGGATCTGCGCATCGACATCATCCCCGACCTGGAGAACAAGACCCTCACCATCCGCGATACCGGTATTGGTATGACCAAGGCTGTAAGTTTCTGCTCTGAGAGTTGCCTCAAGTCACTCTCTCCCCATGTCTTCTAAGTTACCGCCGATACTAATACCATCTCTTATAGGACCTGATCAACAACCTTGGAACAATTGCCCGCTCCGGCACCAAGCAGTTCATGGAGGCTCTGTCCGCCGGTGCTGATATCTCCATGATCGGCCAGTTCGGTGTCGGTTTCTACTCTGCCTACCTGGTCGCTGACCGTGTCACCTTTGTGTCCAAGCACAACGATGACGAGCAGTACATCTGGGAGTCCGCCGCCGGTGGCACTTTCACCCTTAAGGAGGACACCGAAGGCGAGCAGCTCGGCCGTGGTTCGAAGATCATCCTTCACTTGAAGGATGAGCAGATGGACTACCTCAACGAGGCCCGCATCAAGGAGGTCGTTCGCAAGCACTCCGAGTTCATCTCCTACCCCATCTACCTTCACGTCCTGAAGGAGACCGAGACCGAGGTCCCCGATGAGGAGGCCGAGGAGACCAAGGAGGAGGATGATGAGAAGAAGCCCAAGGTCGAGGAGGTCGATGAGGAGGAGGAGAAGAAGGAGAAGAAGACCAAGACCGTCAAGGAGTCCAAGATCGAGGAGGAGGAGCTTAACAAGACCAAGCCCATCTGGACCCGCAACCCCGCCGACATCACCACTGAGGAGTACGCCTCCTTCTACAAGTCCCTCTCCAACGACTGGGAGGACCACCTCGGTGTCAAGCACTTCTCCGTCGAGGGTCAGCTTGAGTTCCGCGCTATTCTCTTCGTTCCCAAGCGCGCTCCCTTCGACCTGTTCGAGACCAAGAAGACCAAGAACAACATCAAGCTCTACGTTCGCCGTGTCTTCATCACCGATGATGCTACTGATCTCATCCCCGAGTGGCTCAGCTTCGTCAAGGGTGTCGTCGACTCCGAGGACCTTCCCCTTAACCTGTCCCGTGAGACTCTCCAGCAGAACAAGATCATGAAGGTCATCAAGAAGAACATCGTCAAGAAGACCCTTGAGCTCTTCGTCGAGATCTCCGAAGACCGTGAGCAGTTCGACAAGTTCTACCAGGCCTTCAGCAAGAACATCAAGCTCGGTATCCACGAGGACGCCCAGAACCGCCCCACTCTGGCCAAGCTCCTCCGCTACCAGTCCACCAAGTCCGGTGACGAGCAGACCTCGCTCGCTGACTACATCACTCGCATGCCCGAGCACCAGAAGAACATGTACTACATCACCGGCGAGTCCATCAAGGCCGTTGCCAACTCTCCCTTCTTGGATACCCTCAAGCAGAAGAACTTCGAGGTTCTGTTCCTGGTTGACCCCATTGATGAGTACGCCTTCACCCAGCTGAAGGAGTACGACGGCAAGAAGCTCGTCGACATCACCAAGGACTTCGAGCTCGAGGAGACCGAGGAGGAGAAGACCCAGCGCGAGACTGAGGAGAAGGAGTTCGAGGAGCTTGCCAAGGCCCTCAAGAACGTTCTCGGCGACAAGGTCGAGAAGGTTGTTGTCTCCTCCAAGCTGGTTGGCTCCCCCTGCGCCATCCGTACCGGCCAGTTCGGTTGGTCCGCCAACATGGAGCGTATCATGAAGGCTCAGGCCCTCCGTGACACCTCCATGTCCTCTTACATGTCTTCCAAGAAGACTTTCGAGATCTCCCCCAAGTCTCCCATCATCAAGGAGCTCAAGAAGAAGGTTGAGGCCGATGGCGAGAACGACCGCACCGTCAAGTCCATCACCCAGCTGCTCTTCGAGACCTCCCTGTTGGTCTCTGGCTTCACCATCGAGGAGCCCGCCAGCTTCTCCGAGCGCATCCACAAGCTCGTCTCCCTTGGCCTGAACATCGACGAGGACGAGGCCGCTCCCGCCACCGAGGCTGCTGCTCCCGCCGAGGCTACCGGCGAGAGCACCATGGAGGAGGTTGATTAGATGAATTCAGTCAACTCTTTCGGTTTTGCTAATTTTTAAGTCTTACGGGAAATGGGAAATGGGATACGACCCTCTGTGATGTTTTTTATCTTTTCATTTTTATGTGTTCTACAATATGAACCGGCATCTTTTTATATTTCTCTCCAGGACACAGTAGATTGTAGTGTAGTGTCTGCCTTACTGTACCCGTGAAGCACCTCCCTAAGCACTTGACCTCACATACATAGATGACAACCCTCAACTCTCTATCTCGCAGTTTACAAGCTTCATCTCATTGACCCCTTGGATCCCCCTCTCCAAACCTCTTCATGTTATTGCCCATTTTAGCAGACCATACCTCTCACCTCCCACAATAGTCCCCATCTATGTTTGAACAATGGGTCAATTAAGTAAAAATAAATGTCCAATCCCAACCCCGTCAAACCGAACGGAGCCCAGTCGATACTTAACTCCCTCAAGCAGCTAAATCCAGCATATGCTGTGTACATTTAAACTGCCGTCAAATTTAGTACTTCAACAATCTGTGACCTTCTTTTATAATACTGTATTGCGATTCGCCCATGCGATTTAATAGCCTCCAACAATTTCAAGCCGTTCGGCTTGTTCTTCTCACAAATTATATCTTCGGTTTTCCAGCTTTGATTTTGACTGGAGGGTACTTATTCGCATCCAGCTTCGTCTTGCTTTCTCTTCGTGAGGCAGGTGTACTCTTGATCGCAGCCTCGGAGGACTCGCAGTTGCATTTCTGTCTCTGGTCGAGCAATTTGGGAAGCGTTTCCTAGACAGACTGGAATAATCCCCTAATCTATTATTCAGAGCCTATTCGCAAGCACGATATCAGATCACGCAAAATTGGGCGCTATAAACACAGAAAGGATACAGTGGCGCCTGACTTCGCCTTCCATGTTTGGGAGTCGAGAGATGCTTTTTCAAACCCTAATCACATGACCATTTGATCCAGATAAGGTTAGCCCGTATTGTCAGTCATGTTCTGATGTTGAACGGTAAATTTTCAAACCCAAAAATATTGAAATGTAATGTATCATTCCTGATCCAGAAATAAACACACTCGTCATGTCGTCGTCCCAATACAAGCGTCCAAACCCAAGGAAAAATTCCCTGCCCTCTGTCCTCCCTCTTCTCCCTCTTCTCTCTTAACCATTGCATAATGGCGCGAAATTCGAGTTCCTGGCAGCGTAAAATGATTGTACACATGATAAGCAGCAGGGACAAGCTCACTACTTCACAAATGGCCAAGCTGGTAAACTGTAGTGAGCATTCTATCACAAACATCCGCAAGAACATGCAGTTGTTAGGTAATAAAAAGCTAATGTGGTAATCTTAACGAAATATTTTGATCCGCAGCTTTGCAGTCATGGCGCTTCTGGTGGTAATTTACCAGGTCCTCGACACGATAGAATGCATTGATATTCTCATGGAGGCGCATCACCGACGGTTGGTCTATCTGTCGCTGCTAATGCCTCCCGTAGAATCTGCTCCATTGATTCTAGAGCCCCAACTTGTGCTAAATCAAGCGGCGTGCATGCGTCGAAGGAATCGATACTAGGGTCAACACCAGCATCTAATAGGGTCCAGGCGGTGTTTTCATGTTCGTTGTTAACCGCCCAATGCAGAGCCGTCCAGCCATTATAATCCTGAAAATTCTTTATCTCACTGTTTCCCAAAAGAACCTTGGCAATTTCATCCTCGCCCTCCTGCGCAGCAAGATGCAATGCTGTCTTTCCCTTGTTGTCCCTGGCAGACCTATCAGCCTCTGTATTGAGAAGAAGCTCAAGAACTTTAATATGACTTCCCAGAACGGCTCGGTGTAGCGCTGTATATCCGCTTGAATCTTTGAAAGACAGATCAATACCATGTACGATGAGAAGTTGAACCATCAATTCGTGCCCAGCTTCCGCAGCCTCTAAAAAGGCTTCCTTGACGGTCTCGTCAAGGGTGGTACCGAGATCAAGAAGCATATTTGCGATCGTCACATGCCCATGGAGTACTGCATAGTATAACGGAGACCGACCATCGATGTCTCTGACGTCTGATCTGACTTTGATACTCAGCAACATTTTGACCGTATCCTCATGTCCTTCCCCGGCTGTATAATGCAGAGCTGTGCGAAGTCTGTTGTCGGTGAGATGCGGATTGCTGCCCCGTTGGATAAGCAATTGAACGACAGCCTCATGGCCATTTTGAGCGGCCAAGTGCAGCGCTGATTCCCCATGTTGATTTTGAATCTGGTCGAGGGCCCCGGCTTCCAATAAAGCTGTCGTTATACCAACATGGCCCTCGTTAGCTGCCCAATGTATCGGAGTCCACCCTGTATGGCTGAGAGCATGTATATCAGCCTTGTGATTAAGCAAAATAGGAACTATCTCTTCGTGTCCTTTTGCTGCCCAGTGTAAGGGGGTCTGCTTCCTGTCATTTATGCTATCGACATGTGCTCCAGCTTTTATCAGCATATCGACGATTGTTGCTTTCTCTGAAAGGACAGCGAAGTGTAGTGGCGTGGTCCCATCCTCATCTGGGATTGAAGGACTGCTTCCGGCAGCTAGAAGCAGCCGCACGGTTGCGACCTGACCGGCGCCACTGGCTTGAAGAAGAGGGGTTTTTCCATCTGAACTTTGAGCAGACACGTTCGCCCCAGCCTTTAGGAGAAGCTGGACAACGTCAACGAAACCCATTAAAGATGCCTGGTGCAGTGGCGTAGCATTTTCGTGACCTTGCAGAGAAGGGTTTGCTCCCTTATTCAGAAGCTCCTGTACGATAGCAATATAACCGTTGCGGGCAGCGAGGTGCAATGGTGAGTCGCCTTTCTCATCTTGAATGACGACGGTTGCTCCAGCACAAACCAGCGCCCGAGCTATCTCAAGATGCCCTTCCGAAACAGCCAAATGAAGAGGCGTATGGCCATGGGCATCCTTGACATCAATAGGAGCTCTGTGGCTTAGTAGCATCTCTGCAATCTGGCTATATCCCTTGATAGCAGCCGCATGTAGAGTCGTTCTTTGAGCCTGGCCGATCCTTACATCCGTAATAGTGGCTCCTTTATTCAAAAGAACCTCCACAACGCGATCATATCCCGTTATAATGGCAAGATCCAGTGGACTAAGTCCATTCTTACGACGTGCATTGATATCAGCTCCCACATCAATGAGTAAAGACGCCACGTTGCAGTGCCCGTAAGCAGCGGCCCAGTGCAATGGCGTGTTTCCCTCATCATCAGCGGCGCAGGGATCGGCTCCTCCCTCCAGATAATGCTGGACAATGCTTGTATGTCCACATGCAACTGCAGAAAACAATATGGTTCGTCCCTGTTCGCGGAGACTAGATGAGTACGCTGAGACAGCGAGCTGGGCGAACCCCTCCGCGGCTTGCGCGAGAGCCACGACATCTGAGGGCTCCAAATACTCAAATAGTTCCAGAACGATCTCTGGGGGAAGTGGGAGCCCCCACCAGCGGCCCATGTTGAGTGCCGTTTCAGTGAGAGTAAGAATAAGGAAAAGTTGAGTCCAAGTGGCCAGTGGCCCTATCTTGCCGGAATACAAGATTTAGACCCATCACGTGCAGAAGAGACGGTGTGTGCCAAGAGGGAACACAAATCGGGTAGAAGATTTTAGAAGATCTTTTTTCCTAGATATAATTTATCCAAAGTAGCCTAAATCAATGTCGAAGAGCAATGGTAGTTCTGGTTTCGAATAGCTATAACTGCATGCTCAAACGACATATTGGTGAGATGCGCGCTTGCACCGGGACCGGTCCCATGATAATCGAGGTCAAGCCTCACGACAACATCGAATGTGCTCTCGGATATGGACAAGAGCCCAACACATTATGAGACCAAATGAACTGTGTCGCTTGATTGTTCTGTAGGCATCAGGGATTGGACAGGATATGATAGCGGAACTCTCGTAAAAGCTGTAAATCTGATAATGAAACCAAACTGGAAAGGGATCAAAAGCTCAGACTGTCCTTTCATAAGGCGTGAACTTTAGGGGCCGTACAAAACCCCCTTGATGAGTCTCCGACCTCCCAGTCAGGGTAGTCCCCACTCAACCTTTCGGCATATATAGTGGAGAGCTAAGCGTCGGCACGGCCTAGCAGACTGAGAGCGCCCCCCTGTAGTAGAATTTATATTGCGGACTTAATTTCCCTCATCTATCCTTGATATGTGTACTACAACAAAAGACGGTCTAACTGGTAAAATAGCGTTCCATTCCAACAAGCCGCAAGTAGAAGAAGACGGAATAAAACTGGAGATTGAGACTTGGTGACTCTAGAGATCTCAAAATGTTATCCATTGATGATAATTGCATTTTGCACTTGAGTCTAAGCCATTTGATGTTGGGGAGTTTGGTTTTCACTGCTTTTGATGAGCGCCGAAAGACAGGTATGTATGATCCAGAATTGACACAGAATTCCTGGTGACCAGACTTCTCTGGGTTGGCTTGCTGGCTGCAACACATCTGTAAAATTACAGGGCTGACAGGAGATCGTGCGACACTATTACACAGCAGACTTGACTCAAGAGTAGCGCCTCAATTTGATAGGGCGCATCCGCCGACTAGGAACGAACATTGCAGGGTTGGCTGGGTCTGGCCCAGCCAGTCGCGGGAACGGATTGAGCCTGCGGTTGAAGAATACGATTGTGTCTTCTTGGCCGTTCCACGTCACCCGCTCGTTCGGCCAGTCTCACAATTCTCTTTCTTTGTGGTAAGGGCCAGACTCGATCGACTCGCCGTTCGCAACCACTGGGTACCGAGACTTGACCCGGCCACCAGGGACCCCGTGCCCGCTCTCAACCTCAGGGTGGGAGTGACCGCTCGCCTAACGCCCAGCCGAACACCCGGGCGATCTTCTCGATCTGCCGGTGCGGCAGGTGTCCAGCTAGGACAGTGAATATGGCGCTAGCGATAGTTGCCTTCTTGGTATACCGTAACCCCCACGGGCATGGTGTACTGCTCATAAAATACAAATCCATATCGTCTGGAAAGTCAAAGCTTGTAGTCATCCTGCAATGCCCTATCATCAATGAAGAGCCCTTCTGCTAAAATCCGGTCTCCTCGATAGAGCACCCCGTTGCCGTCATGCTTCCCGAGCAGCCAGTCGCCGGTGTACGAGAACCCATTGACGTAAGTCATGGTGCCCAACTCATGAGGGAGTCATCCTTGAGGAAACCAATACGCTTTTTGGCCAGCGGCTCAACGACGACTCCCCAATGCTCATGCTTTAGCACCATCCAGCTGCGCCGGTTGAGGTCGGTCCGGTAGCCGTACATTAGGCAGGTCCGGTTCGACGTCTCCCTGGCCGTGGCCTGAGCGTGCGAGATTGAGCCTCTAGCGTTCTCCAGCATCTCTTTCCAGCAGACTCCCTATCTATTGGACCAGCCATTATGGTGCCGCCACACCATCACGAGCTGCGAAAAAAAGAAAAGAGAAAAGGAAACAAGCAGCCAGGAATGGGAGTCAAAATTCGCTCTAAATCTTGTAAAGGCCGTACATTACATGAACTGGGCGCGTAACTCAGTTGGTAGAGTGTTCGCTTTGCATGCGAAAAGTCCAGCGTTCGAATCGCTGCCCGTCCATTTCTTTTTTCTTTTTTTCCAACCATTTTGGTTGCCAAGACCCAACGCCAAATTGACAATTTTGCCTAGGACTATTTGTATTGCTACTCAATGTAGCTTTTTTGGTCAATTGCATTGTTGTTTCTACGTTGCTTAGCGTGATTCGTGAACGGAATTGGTTTCATTTATATTACAGGAATCTGGAATTCAGGGTCGACAACCCAGCTGATATATATAACCCACACGGGAACTGTATTCTGAAAAGATTATGATAAAGGCATGTCCGATAAGCATGTCGTTCTATCAAGCTAGGTGCCACCAGTCCGTAATTTGTGTCCGTGCTACTTGTAAGTCACTGCCACCTACCTCCCTTTAGGAAGTAGGTACGTAGGAGTGGTACAGATAACAGGGCTTTTCATTAGGCAACTTTCCGGGTGAGGTTTTCAACAGGCAGAATTGAACACTGGAAGTATATCATATAAATTTATCATAGATCCATCCATCTTATAGAAAATGCTTTCTCCGATATATTGGGCTTCCTATCCGCGTTGTACCCACATATACCGCCTTTGGTCGAATATTCCGGAGGTCCTACTATATTCTGGAGTTTGTGGCTAATTTTACCTTTTAGCTACAGCGCTAAAATAGCATTAAAAGGGGGCAAAGTCGATCTGACGAGAAATCTGCGCGAGGTTAACCATTTTGCCGAAATAATTCCTATTGGCTCAATGCTCACTATATCATTGGTCACGTGGAGGAAGAGGAAAAATTGGGCAGTGAAAGGAAAGATAAATTAAATAATTATTTCCATCTTCAATGCTCTGGTGAGGGGAACCAATATGTATAGACCGACCTCGAGACATGAATGGTGGCTGTGTGTCGTGTTGTTCACGCAGGCTATCTTGACCATTACCCTTGAGATGTACGCTCTCCCTATGTTCGTCCGAACGACCCTAACCAGAAAATCAGCTATATACTCGTGGAATGGCAGCTATGGGTTACTTCCACCATCACCCAGGTCCCAGTTTCCTACATGATCCCAATCAATCTAGGCATTTTAATATTCGCCTGTGTCTACGAGTTCATCCTTGCGGTGGATGCGATCCATAACAAGAACAATGTTCTCCTCTTTTCAATCTGCATTTGCAACATTTGCAGCTTTGTGTACTCTGTTATGCAGTACATATCGGTGAAAGACACCACTATGAGACTGTTTGACAATCGTTACGGGTCTCCAACATTGATAGATACCACTCGCAACCTTTGGCCCCAGATTCGGCCAGCGGAGATCCTAGTGGCAGTTATTACGGGACTGGGCAGTTTGCTTGTATGCTCATTTGTATACCTTCTGCACAGGGAGTATTCATGGGTCATCTATAAGTCTGTCCAGGGCAGCTCGAAAACACGAAGGCGTTATCTGTTCTACGAGGTAATCTCTACCACGCATGGCTTCGCTGGCCTTTGAACAAATATTGAGTATCCACACTAACAAAAGCCGAGCATAGATCTTTCTGGTCCTGATAAAACTCCTCTTTTACTTTCTGTTGGGTTTCATCATCCAATACAATCTGGTGTATGTCCACTTTAAGGAACCGGAGTATACTCTCACAATGCTCCTCATTCCGGTCGCTTTCATTGTTATGCTACTTGGTATTTGGGCTGTCCAACACGAACGAGCTGTTGTCGTAGTTGCTATTATTGTGAGCTCTCTTGCTTCCTTCCTGGCTGCCAGACCTCTATGGAGAACTACTGACCCTTTGCAAGATATGCTACCTCGGTCTTCTCTCATATCTCATCAGCCGCATCATCATTCTCCGTGGGGCTCTCACCGCTGGGAAGGACATGATGTTGTTCTTCGCATCGGTATGTGTGATGCTGACTGTTGCAGCGATATTCTGCACCATTGTTTGCATCAAAAACTTCGACCGAGGCTTCAAAGTTATCAACCGATCGAAGAACGGCCATGCACTAGAGTCCTATTCCATACCCGGAAATTCCATAACAGAGCCGTCTCGTTCATTTTCGCGTCCTTCTTCGCGGCCCACGCTTGATTAACCCCTCGTTTCCAAACTAGCTGATTTAGCAAAGCGACGCATCGAAATACCAGGAGATTCCCCAGACGCTTTGGATTCTCATATACCACTTGCACAATGTATTATGGTAGCGTGAGTAAAGTCATTTGACTCGAGTACGGTCTGGGTCAGTTTAAACGTGCTTATTTTGGGTTTGCTTTGAGAACGCTATGGGCTTGCCCCATACTCGGTAACCGACAATGGACACTAACGAGCTGAAGTCTCCCGCGGGTTTGAGATGACTGTCAAGGAGAAGGAAGATGTCAAAGACGAGCTGCGCCATATGATTACCCACGAAAATCCCTCATATCTGTTAGCACTGGCCGAGGCCTACTTCTGTATGCCGGGAATGCTTGGGCTCGGGAGGATCTCCTTTGTCAGAACCATCGCGTGGCATTGGAAGAAAGGTGGTCTATGGCCGAAAGGAGTGTCAAATTGGCTTAAATGACCTAGCGGTTGGATGAACCTTGGAAGACAGTATAATTGCTTATGTTCTGGGAGATGTTAGCTTCCAAGGTCATCACCGGGCTGAACTTGCACTTGTAGTAATTAAAGGGATGACGTGCTAATTAGTTGCCCGTTTCCTATACTTTAGTCTGATTAATCTCGGTAAAGTAAGAGCATCGACAAAAACCTGCAAGAGCTATTACCGCCAAATGTGCCACTTCATATTTTCCTATGGTAAATTTTGACTGCCTAGCTCACCGGTAATAGACTTGGAATTATAGGTAGAGTCGCCCGATAGAAGCCCATCCACTTATTCTAAGATGAAATTGATAGTCTATAAGACTTTTCGGCTCCTGCTAGCATACCAGATGATGCCTCATTAATTACTGCCGCATCATCCTTACCCGCGTCACTGGACCCTTGTAGACTCTCCGGGCATAAGTCACATAATAACATAGTGAAACAACAACAACGCCCCCAAAGATAACCACACTCCAATTCATGGTAGTCGGGTCCACATTCTTGGTTAGGGGGAAGAAACTGAAGATCCATATTACCAGCAAAACTATGATGGAAATGGTATCACAGACGGGGGTGAACTTGCCCATGCTCCAACGTGCCGGTGGCAGAGGCTGATTGCGCCAGCGTCGAAGACGAACGCAGGTGATGGAAATGATGTAGGAGGACAGAAGGGCGGCTGTGCCGAGTGACATAATGGCGTTGAAAGCCACAGAAGACCCAATATTTATTAGGGAGAGCAGAGAAACAATAATGAGACTGACGCAAAGGGCATTTAGTGGAACGGTGAAGGTTGTGTTAACCTAATTTTTCCCATTTTAGTCAGAGCATCGGGATGAAGGTGTCTGGAAGAGCTGACCTGGGCCAAGAAATTGGAAAAAGGAAGACCCTTGTCTCGGGCAAAAGAGTAGATCTGACGGGAGGTTGTAGCGACATTACTGATTGCCGCACAAAATTGCATGATCATGATCACTACTGTCATGCCTGTCGTGGCGCTGACTGATCCAGTGGCATTAAGGAAGACCTGGATGAAGGGGAAGCCTGTTTCAGACTTGAGCACCTCATCAATGTCGCCTACACAGAACGCAAATGTGATTATCATGACCAAGCCGGTAGACCCGTTGAGGATCAATGTCCATACCATGCCCATGGGGAGCACCCGGGATGCATCTCGAATTTCTTCCGCTGTATTACCGGTATTAGTCATTTCCCGTACATGGATCGGGGAATAACAGGATACATACCCATATGAACCGCTGAGTCAGGGCCTTTTCCGGGTATATAGTTAGTAGCGGCCAAAATAGAATCGATCAACGTGCAGACATACCAATCAATGCATAGATGGGTCCAACCAGCCCCGCCATACACGCGAGTCCATTGTTGTCCCATCCACCCCGATTCTCGATTGAACCAAATACCTCAGAAGCAGGGACCTTAGGGGACAACACCCAAAGTGGGATCAGAATTGCAAAGAAACCGAAGCAGTGCACAATCAAGATGATACCTTCGATCAATGGGAGCTTCTGGGCTAGGAATGTATTGAACATCAAGGCTACCATGGCCACCGCAATAACAAGCAGTGTGACATGCCAAGGCTCATACTTATACGTGTCAGGGTAGTTTATGGCAATCACGCCAACCATCATATTAGCGACTGTGTAGCAGCATCCTGCGATACCGGTGTGCCAACCCAACACGCAAATCCATCCAGTGATATAACTCAATAGGGCCTGGGAACTGGGGGGTGCGAACTCCGACACCCAATGATACTGGCCACCGGACAATGGGGCCCTAGGGAATCGAAAATAATGGTCAGCGATCTCATCGTCAAGACATGTGGACTGTGCATACATAGACGCCATCTCAGCCATTGAGAGGATCACGAAGCTGAACCCTGCCAGGCCTCCCAGGTAAGTATATATCATACCACCTTTGCCACCATTAGTCAATCCGTTAGATGAACCGCTAATACAATAGTCCAGCAGTCAGCACATGATTCAATATAACATAATGAAGTTAATTGTCCTAATATAGATATCGATCAGTTCAATTATGGGGACTTACAAGAGAACTGCTTCCCATGTGCACATAAGCACCGCCGTAAACCCAAGAACGGAAAGAAACCTGAAGTTTCTCTACAGCACGTGTCACTTTTTCTTCCTTCCTTCTTTTTCTTGCATTGATGATTTGGAAAGAGGGGCTTAGAAAATCTGAGCAGAGTTGCGTACGTTCAGTTCTTGGTCTCGCCCGACACGCCACATGTCTTGCTTGTCCTGCGCTGTGCCTGTCCTTTGGGAGGAGGCATCCAGGGAGAAGGTCTCCGGCGTGGGGTGTTGAACGTTCAACATGATTCCGTCCTCGCGCCCCATGGTGAGTAATGGTCACTTCAATTCTAGTAATCGAGGGGGATAGAACAAGTCTGAAGGGGAAACCAGTAAAAGGAAAGAAAGAGAGAGCAGGCAGGAAGTAGATTAGGGAATTGAGAATCTGAATTCAACAGTGCACTACGGCGAGATTGTAGCCGTATTTTTAGAAAATTGGGACACAGGCACAGGGGTAGATATTGTGATAAAAGACCAGAGTAGTAATAATATTTAATACAACATATGTTTGGCGAACCCTGGTCAACAAGCAAAGGTTGTGGTTGGCAACGGCCGAAGTACGATGCATTAGGGCACCACTAGGAGCGTGCCGGTCGTGAGACACCCAACGAGCTACTCCGTAGGTGGCTTTTTATTATTATTATGGAGTACTCCGTACACTATCTTTTGTCTTTTGCGCGATTAATCTTGTTCAAGGGTAAAAAAGGGCCCTGAGCTGTGCCGTTAGCTGTCCCGCAAAATTCCCCGTTCAGGATCACAATCCCAGCTAGTTATGTACATACTCTACCGGGATCATCTAATTGGTCAATTGTTATATTAATCCGCAATTCCTCCGGGATTAGCTCTATACGTATATTAATATAGTATTCTGTATTGCGTACTTATGCGAACAAATGCCTCGGCCAAGTCTGGAGATGCACGCTACCCACATGCAACATTGTCCATCTAAGCCTTCTAGAGCTTCTATTTCGTTATTTTGTGTACGGAGTAAGAAGATCATGTATACGGGTCCGCCAAGCTCATATTGATCTTCGCATCCGCATGGAGCTGTGCTCCGTGCTAAGCGTATGATTTTTATTACCTAGGTAATTTAGGTCTCTGCTTTCAGATTAACTCAGTACACATGTACATATCGTCTCATTTGCATACTGGCCTCACTAATGGACCAATAATTACTTAGGATCAGGGCTTTCTATTTGAGAATTGGGTCTCATGAAAACGAGAGGTTTATAGAGGTTCCTGTAATTGATTAACTTCAAATTAACTAATTTGTTGTGATGCGCAGGTTAAAAATAAAATAATACTCTGTACTTATAGAATTATCTATAGGATCTACTTACGTATATCGCACACAAAATTATTACAGGAGATAATTGTATGTACGATATATCAAGTCTTCCGCGACCCCTGTCGTCCATCTGATCCTTCGATTCATTCATCCGCAAACATGGCCCCGGTATTTCTCAAAAATTATAACCATGAACCATCGCAAAATCTCTGCCTTCTAGTCCCCGTCGTATCTCGCCTGTCTCGAACCTCATGGAATCCCTCCCCCCATATGCAGTCTCTGCGACAAACCGAAGTGGCTTGATTATCATCGTTGAAACACTGTTTATGACGTGGATGATCATAGTTAGTCTGATTCGACTGTACATGCGTCTCGCAATCAATGGACCGGTCAAGATTGATGATGTGGTAGTCTTTGCCGGCAGTGTACGTCTTCATTTGTGATTATTCCCCTCTCCCAACCTTTCCTCTTTCCCCAGAAATCCCCCCAACGGCTTAAGTTTATGACAAATCTCTAATATTGATCGGATTTGACTTGCTAGGTAATGGCCATCGTCCATGTCGGAACAATCATGGATGCAATTTTCCATGGTCTGGGCCGACCAGAGGCCGAAAGCTCGCTGTCGAACTTGACACGCGCTGGAAAGGTCGCCTTCCCTCCCTCCCGAATTCCCGAACTCGGTATTCGATGCTACTCGAAAGAAAAGAAGAAAAATCAAAGAAAAAGAGACTGACGGATGCTTATTCAGGACGTCTATGCAGCGAACCTTTTATTCCTGGCTGGACACGGCGCGGCAAAGATTTCCATATGTTTGCTTCTCAGACAACTCGGCCGGCAAGAAGGCTACGTGCTCTGTTCCAAGATCCTTCTGGGCATGGTGACGGCGTGGATGCTTGCTTCGATTCTTGCGGCTGCCCTCAGTTGCTTCCCACAATACCAATTTACCATGGCCCAACATTGTAGCAATATCGTGCGTTATACTTACTCACACTTGGCGACCCAACTGACAAGCGAGAGCAGGGCATTGCCTGGAAAATGATCACTGTCTTTGACGTGATTACGGAAATCCTTACCTTCGCACTGTGTATTTTACTAGTGTGGGGGGTTCAGATGCGGTGGAAGCAAAAATGGGCGGTAGTTTTTGCGTTTGGGACGAGGGCTCCGTGAGTGTCTGATATCGCAAAGATGAAGGTAATGAAGGAACGAACTGCAGTAGCTAATCATTTTTCTGCAATATTCAGGGTTGTCATCTTAATCATACTTCGCCAAAACTATCTCAACCACTCCCTTTTCCATTCCGACGCACCTCTTTATCTATCTGATGCAATTATCGTGACCGCCGTTCTTCTTCACACCAGCATTATGGTATCTACAGTGCCATGTCTAAAGCCGTTTGTAATTTCATTCAACACAGGATGGGGACAGGGCATCACGAACGGAAAGGGTCAAAATTCGTATTTCACACCGACTGGGAAGAGCGCATCCACCAACCAATCTCACATCTACTCAACAAACCGAGAGGGTGACGAGGTTGATCTGACTACTTCCCGGCAGTCGCAGGATAGCCAGCACTCGCGACGTCTGATTATTCACCAGACGCGTGAGTGGAGGGTGGAGGAGGAGTATGAGATGCATTCTATGCAAGATGGAATTTAAATTATCTATACTAACTATACTGTGGATGGTGTCTTATGGGAGATCCAATTGGCTGCTGGGAAATATCAGACATGCCGTTATGGATGGCTGGCATGGAATGGAAATCGCCGTACAGCGTGATGCTCCTTTTGCCCATGTCGCCTTGCGCAACCTATTGCGTCGCATGATAAGTTGATTCTGGGAAACTTCTAACATTTCTCCGTTCAAAAATAATAAAATGTCATCTCTGATGGAATTAGTGGTATTGATGTCGGCAGTTCGACCATATGAAGATGCTGACCATGCTTCATCCCTCAGGGAGATCTATAGTAAAAAACACGAAATTTACGACGTTTTCGGGGAAGTACATATGCAGAATGATACAAAAAAGGAGAAATCTCTTACGCTTCAAAATATAACCCTCCATAGACTTTATCACACCTGCCAGTACCGCAATTTCCTAGTCCCATCTACGTGTGTCTAATTTCGTTTCCGTTTACTAGCGCAGAATCTCTGAGAATTGAGGATTCTTTTATCGACGATAGAAACAGTGACATGGTATCCGTCTCGACTAACGCTCAGGAGATAGACTACCAGATTTTTGAAAACGTAAGCATCACGTCCATTGTCTGCGTCCGGCCTGCCTCGATTGTCTTCTGTGGAAAGGAAGATGGCTCCGTGCATGTCTACGACTTTGCCTCTGAGCTCCGGAGCCAGCAGCTGTTTGTACGGACTCCTGGGATCACGATCAACTTCCTCCACTTCGACGAGCGCATTCTCACGTGCGCAGACTGCGCTAGTCATGTAGTGAGCAGGAGACTTATGTGACGACCAAAATCGAGATGGGATATCCAGAGGCCTTTTCTGGATTTATACGTTGAAACACGTATACAGCAACTGCTCGCATGTAGCAAGAATTCCCGGCTTCTTGTAGCCACCGAATCCGAGGACACTCTTTGGGATCTGGTTGACTCTAGGGATAAGGGTCCTCTTATTTGCAATAAGGTCGAAGGCAAAAGGTATTGGATTCAGAGTGCCGCGGATCCCAATAATCTACTCCTTATGACGCCCACGGGAACAATGGCGTACAACTGGACCTCTCTGGAAAGCCTCAAGACGATTTCCCTGGACCATCTACTCCAACCCTTGACAGTGATCGATCGTGCAACTCCTCTCCATCACCCCCGTTTCTTCGCGACGATAACGAAAAACGCCTCGCCCACCCAGTCCTCTGAGCCAGAGATACATGTATGGAATTTTAGGGACTTCAGTTTGGATAGGACGATCCAATCTCCCGTGCACAGCTTTGGCGCCGTGTCGTCAAGAGTCGAGGCAGTTATCGGGTCGCTTGAGGAACGATTAATCTACCTCGACACTGACCGTTGGGTTTGCTACATCGATCTGGAAGAGAGGGAGGAGCGCGTCATACGACACTTCTTTATTCTTAATGACTGGATGATTTCCACCGATCAGTTGCTACTGGATCTTGGAAGCACAGGCGAGATTATCTTTGTCAAACTAAATGAGCCTGTTGTTATCAAGCGAGGTCTTAAATTCACACCCCAAGGCAGTTTTGATGGCTCTAGAAAAGGTAGCTTGACCCTCAGAAATGGTTAGCTATTTGGACCCTCATCCTCAGATTCAGCATAGAATGGTTCAGCTTTCGCGATCAACTATTGGTGGATCAGGGATCCCCTTCGGCCCGTCTAAGTCAGAGAGCAGACCATGAAGATCATCCCGACAAACCCTCTCGCAGAGGACTGTCATGTCTTTGAAGACCCTATAAAAATAAAATTGGAACTTAGCGAAATTGTAACAGAAGTCCTGCTGCTGAGAAGATAGCCTTACTGTGGTTTTTGCGTGGACTGAGGCATAAACAATGCATTACATATGTTCCATGTCAAGGAGTAAAGCAGGTTTCTACTATTCCAATCCTCGACTTGAGAGATTAAAACAAATATTGTGTTAATATTTCTCTTTCCCCCTTCCTGTAGTGTACACTTACGGAAAGTACTCACCTGGTTCGGATACGGGAATCAATGCTTTGTAGGCATCCGTATACGCCGGATCACTAACAGCATGTCTGGGGGCCCTCCAGTTCCCCAGGTCGTATTTATTGTGCGCATAAAAAGAAGCAACATCAAAAAAGAAAGCACGACCGTCTTTCCCAGTCGCGGTATTTCCACATCCCAGCAGTCCCCATGGACAAGACACGGTTTAATTGAACGCCCATCCGTCTGCAACGGCAAGAGGAGAGCAGGGACGACCTTGGAAAGAACTAGTTTTCCAAGCTGATCAAATTCCGGCCACGTAAAACTGGCCTTAGCATGGGAGATGATCCCCGAAAGATGGCTGGAGAAGAGTTCACACCATGAATCAGTCCAAAATCGACACCCTGCACATTGCGAGTATGGCAAGTGGGCACATGGAACCCAAACTTGCCAGTTGGGGATTGAGACTTCAGATGTAGCTCTGCTAAGCAAGCGGCGAGATTTTTTGCATCCGCAGGCTGGAAAGGAGGACCATTATTCATTTTTGAATGAATAGTAGGGAAAGAATATTAGGGACAATTAGACACCTACCTGCTTCTGGATGGCCAAGAACTCAACGAGGAGAAAAGAATAATCGATATTGTATTCGGTGTATCGGCCCCATCCAAGTGGTTCTGGGATATGTGCGCACACCGAGTAAATTGACTTGAGAGACTCATACTCGCCTCGGCAGGTGATCATTCCGAGTTGTCCTTCTGTGATCTATTGTGCTTAGTACTTTGTTCTTGAGGGGATGGTTTGTCGCTGGGACTATTGGATGGTACTCTGTTTCCCCTACCTTCAAAAAATAACTCGTAAGTAATCCCGACGGAATGTTGGATTGTCAACTGTGTAGTGCGTCCGTAATGCGATTGACCATGTTGAGTGGCATCGACTACCTTGCTGTCGGCGATTGGAAGATCTGGAAGAATTCATTACTGATGAGGCACTGCTTAGGGACTTGCTGGCGGAATTAACGTAACACGACATACATTCTAGAACGCTCGGAGGCAGCTGGAATTCCGTGTCGTGATTATGTTCCACTGTCATATTTTATACCTCTAGGTTTATTTCAAACCCGTGTTGTGGATATGGCAGAGAAATGAACTAAAGTAGAAATAAGAGGGATAAGAGGGGCTTGGCCTAGTAATTTATGAAACTAGCCCTTAAGGAACCGCTGAGGTCTTCACACAGAACCTTGCAAGGTTCCAACGTTGGATGTCGAGAAGAGGGGTTATGCTGAGATAATCGGTGTTGCGAAAGAAATATAACTGGGGCCCACAGGCCAAGGACATGTATGTATTCATTGATGATGATATGATGAGGATGGTTGCTTAGATGGAAGAATATTGACTGAGTGGGTGGGTCTTCTATAGACAACCCCGGTACTGGCTCTCAGATCTGCATCGGGGGATGTTTCCAAAGCTCATTCTAAGGTTGGGTGCTGTCCCGGTGAACCTCGGAACTACGAATCAGAACTACTACGTAGATGTCATGTAGGTGTGGATTAGTAACACCGTACTGCTACCTACCTACTGATCACTATGGTATCCCCCACATGGTGGATGTGTGGGGTATCATTTTCCAAGGTTCCCCTTCATTTTAAACTCAATCACCCTTGGAACCGGACATAGCTTAAGCTATCTCTATTAATCGCCCAGGTGAATGAAATTGTCAAGTAATTTCTTCCAAAATGTCTACCAAAGGTATATCCCTCACTACTTCCCGTATTCACGCACAATCAAGGACGTTTCTGCACATATCTGCTCGGATACCTCACTCTCGCTTCCGTTTCGACGGCCATATAGTTCCCACACTCATTGATCTTTTGTTGAGCAACTAGTATAACCTCTCCGCCCAACTCATAAACCTCAGTATCGCATTCTATGTTATATTCTGGCCATCTCACCCGCCTTGTGGGCGCCAGTCTCCGACACCGTAGACCGCCGGCTTCCTAATGACCTTTTCGATCTATGCCTGCGGCGGACTCGCTCCGAATAAATCCAATTATGCCACCCTGCCCTTGTTGTGCGGCCTCCGGGGCATGGATGGTCAGTCATTATGTCGCTTGCCTATGCCATTATAGCGGACGTCTCGCCTCTCTCCAAATCTGACAAGAATCTAGGCCCCATGCTTACATAGACAGCTCTCTTGCCTTGCGCCGGGCCTGTCATTGATGGTGGTGCTATCCTAGCCTCGAGCGATGTAAACAGATGAATAGCATCAGTAAATACAAATTCTCAACTAAAGACCTCCACTAGTGGATGGCTCTTGGAAAGCCAAATATAGTTTTCGCAATTCGGAATCCCTCTGCAGCAACGCCTCAGCTCTATCGCACTCCACAAGTTCCCCGTGCTTGAGCAACATCACTCGGTCGAACCAGCGAATATAACGAAGCCGATGCACCACCGCAAAGATAGTTTGCTCGGAAAATTCCTTCTCGATAATATCGTGCATGATCGCGTCGGTTTCCCAGTCGACACTAACGCAAGCAAACCATTAGCTTATATCTCAATGGAAATTCAGAAAATTCATAGATCGATACAACAATGTTCAGACAGATCATTACCTGCTTGTGGCCTCATCCAAGATCAGCAGGGCACTCCTCTTCACGATGGCCCGAGACAAGGCAAGCAATTGCCTCTGCCCAACAGACCAATCCGCCACAGAGAACTCCATATCCAACCCACCTTTGGCGTGAACTCGATCCCAGAGGCCCACCTTCTCGATAGCACGGATCAGTTCCGCATCGATCACGCACTGGCGAGGGTCAAGATTGAACCGGAGGGTCCCTGGCATGAAAAATGGGTCTTGGGGGACAACGTTTATGCGCGAGCGGATTGTGTTTCTCGCAATCTCCGCGAGGTTCTCACCATCTATGCTGATGCGTCCGGACTGAATGTCAAGCATCTGGAGTATCGCCATGATAAATGATGTCTTCCCACTCCCGGATGGTCCGCAAACGGCAATCTTCTCCCCCGGTTTGATGGTCATCGTAAGACTTTTAAGGACCGGAGTGGCCGAGTGGCTGTATCTGATTTAGCTTCGAGCATATAGCGAAAGGGACTACGGCTAAAACGAGATAATACGTACTCATATCCTGCTGTCACGTCTGTGAACTCCACCGCACCACCGCAAGGCCAGCCATGCGGTAATTGAGGAGAAATTGGAGGTGCCACGCGGCATTCTTCCGAAGGAGTATCTTCTACAAAGCGTTGCAAGCGCGAGACAGCCCCGATAGAGATTTCAGTCATGGTCCACATTTTGAGAGCATTGGCCAAGGTTTGATTTAGTGTCAGTAAAATGTTGAGTGCAACCCCAATGGATGCTGCGTTGAATTGACCTCTCAGCGATGTGATCATGGCAATGAAAATAACTGCGATAGCCCCTACAACCAAATCCAGAACAAGAATCAGCCATTGCTGAATACTGTAAAGCATGTAGACCGGTCGCTGCGATCGGTTTAGTAGGTAGTGGCTTTTCGCTTGCATCTGGGGCCCCCAGTTAAAGGCTTTAATGCTTGATATACCGTGGATCGTCTCGAGAAAGTGTGTGAAGAGAGGTGCCTTAGCCTCGATATCTAACAATCGGACCTGTCGGGAGGTTTGTAGGTAATATGACTGAATGAAGAATAGGACCACCCCTAAGAATGGGATTGAGACTGCCAGGTATCTGCCCATGGCACAGACGATAATAGTGTTGATAAATACATCAACGAAACCTGCCGAGTGAGTTAGCTCTAAGCTGTGTATTGGGGAAGGGTTCGTACTGTTCACAAAATTGACGGCATAAATCGGTAGCATCATATCAATAAGTTCCAAATCCTGACTGAATCTATTTTAAATATGTTAGAAACAGCGAAGAGCGTAGGCAGAGGAGCTTTAAGGTAATAGTACCTATTCGTTATTGAACCGGTGTCTACACTTTGGTAGAAGCTGATCGATGCCCTGAGGTAGGAAATATTAGTATGCCAAAATATGGATAGGCCATAATAGCCTACCTAAAGGCTGTTTTGAGAAGATCGGAATGCAAATTCAGCGAGGTATTATTAAGAGCTCGAACGAAGAGCAACCTATGCTCCCCAGTCAGCTTTGGAAAAGAAAATCACATAGAAATCACGTACCAGCAGCCAGCAACGAGACTCAAAAATGTCAATCCAAATATCAAGCCGTAGATACCAAGATACATCCCCAGCTGCTTGTTAGGTTGCTCTTCATTTGCATCAACCCACCATTGAATCCATAATGCTGAGAGAAGTTAACTTTCCATCTGACCAATGGGGATCAAAAACAGACCTTGAAAGCTTGAACAGAAAGACTCAATAATAGTGAATGCCAAAAACGAGACCAAAAGGCCATACCCTGCGCTCCGAAAGTAATATGTGTACACGGGCCAATTTCTTTGATGTTTAACACGGATGGTCTTTTCATTGTCGAGAGTGTCCACGGCAATGCTGGTCTCTTTTTTCCCGACAACCGTTAGGCCAGAATTTGACCTCTCCGTTTCAAGAGGAAGATCCAAAGTTGACTTCTGAACCTCTGAGACAATCTTTGGTTCCTTGGATAGCATCTCATTGTATGACCCCGATGCTGTAATCTTCCCCTCATCCATCATCAGGATTTGATCCGCATGGGGAAGCAACTGACCTATACGTTCTCTTAGCAGTGGTCCTTGATCGCGTTGTAATAGTCATTATCCCCATTACGACATCTCAAGACATACAGGTACTCATGGCAAGAATAACTGATATCCCCAGCTTCTTAAAGTGGCCGTCTTTGCCGAAAAGCCGGTTCCTGATAAGAGCAATACTCATCGAGTCGAGTCCGCTGAACACATTATCCAGAATGACAACGTCAAGCTTAGAGTACACTGCTCGGGCGAGGGCCTACAGATCCAAAGCGAGGATCCATCAGTACGTACAAAGATAGGTGCGTGTCCTGCATAATGACTCACAATGCGCTGCTTTTGGCCTCCACTAAGTGAGATGCCGTCGCTTCCAGCCAAATGCATATCACCTTCTGCAAGAGCGTCGAGATCCTCTTGCAGGCCACATACGGTGCATGTGATATCATACCATGTTTGATCAAATTCCAGGAATCCGATGATATTGTTCCGGATGGTGTCGTTTCTAATCCATGGGGTCTGTGGACAGTAGGCTGCTCTTGAGAATGAAGCTGTTCGGGAACCATTTTTAACCATGTGCTGGTGGAGGATGCTTTCAATCAGAGTTGACTTCCCGCATCCAACAGGACCTACTATTATCGTGATGCCCTGATAGATGTTAACATTCAGATTGCAGAGCACGGAATTTTTCTTCCAAGACCATGCTATGTTTGCATTCTTGAATGAGATCAACAATGGATAGAACTTTTCAGATGTCAGCGATGGCTGAACCTCCTCTTCGTATTTTGCAGATAAAGCGGTGCCCTCCCCACAATATGTCTCGATCCGGGCAAAGCAAGCGACAGCCTGCCACAACGCGGGCATGGCTTGGCAAAATATGAGCAGGGGATTTGTGAGAAGAGAAATCAAAGCGAGGGATGTGAATGCTTGAGCAGAGAGGATTGACCCATCGTGTCGCACAACAGATATTATCGCGTAAACTGTAAACGTAGCAAAGGGGGCGAGGACAACGGGCAAGTTGGCTAGATTCAACGTCAGTTTATGTCCTGGTGGCTATCTCATCCGTCTTGGGCACTTACAGAGCGCAACCTGCCATATCAGCAACTTTCGGAAAGAAACTGAAGTTTTCACTTCGATTTCACGCAGATGTGACACCAGCGGTAAAATAACATCGCCCAGCCCGAGCATTTGCACAGCCTTCATGTTGCCTAACGTGTCTGCTGTCACTGCGAGTCGCGTTTGTACTCGCTCAATCCATTGCTTTTGTGCCTGTCCAGATCGGCTTGACACTGGGACCATTGCCAATACGGAGCCTAATGGAGCTTCTCAGCAGTTGCTCTTAAAATATATCTATTAAAATTAAGCGAGGAAACTCTTACCCAGTGAGATGACGAGCGGTATAAAGCAGGCGACCCCGATCTCGCGTTCCAACAACCAGATCGCAGTCCCCAATTCGATGATAGATGCCCACGCCTCATGCAGGTTCTTCAAATTAGTCACTATTCGTTCGACATCAGTGCCCATTAATGTAATAGCTGCGGAATCAGTCAAATCTGCCGCAGTCATGTCGATGGTCTGGTCATAGATCATAGATATAAGACCAGACCGGATCATGGTGAGTAGGCGGTATGTTTGACGCCAGTATACAGCTTTCGAAACCTTGTTTTGACCGTTAGAGAGACATACTGCATTGGAAATAATGAATGAACCCCTACCGCCAACCCCAGATATACCAGAATATACGCCCCAATCAGTCCAGTTCCGTAAATCTTAGGCTCTGACCCCGGTGAGCCTCCAATATAATTCACAGTTGCTGTGATCAGAAAAGGTTGTGCGAAGGTAAAGCAACTGTAGGCCAGGCGTGGGGGGATCGCGGAGATACAAGCCCATCCGTATGCACGAAAAACAGCTTTGATTAAGCGATAATGACCATTTGTTTTTGCAGAATCCCAGGACTTTCGAAGCTTGCTGCCCGAGCATTGTCCTTGAAGACTTGTGTCAACTTCTGGGATATCCTCGACCTCGAGAGCTTCCCGATACCCTGTCTGTAGAAATGGCAGTACCCAGATAAAGAAGCTTCGGCTCCAAAACCCGATCTTTCCTTCATTGGTACCACCATAATACTGAGAATGCAGAATCTTTGTTTTTGGGACCGACTCAAGGGCCATAACTGCCACCGTCAACAGGAAGCAAGCTAGCGAGAGATATCGACAGACTCCAACGGATGGGATCAGCCATAGTGAGCGCAGCTGAGGCAGCCTGCAAATGCTACACGCTGAGAAATAGAGGATTAGGAAATCCGAAGGTTTCACAGATCGCTGGTCCTCTAAGAAGGAGGCGTATGATGCTGCAAAGGTTGCTATTATGTTGAGTATGACTGCAGGCAAAGAAGCCCGCGTATGAATGGCCGCTTCTCGGACTTGAAATGCCCCAAACAAAACTTGGAGAACGAACAACACGGCGAGAAAGCACTGCTTGAGTTTAGATACGGTCGGGGAAGGTATAAGGGAGGATGTTTTTACTAGTTTGCAGACCGCTAATCTGTATGAATTGATTTTGACCGCCTCGTGCCGGAGAAAACAAAGTCTTATAGGTAAAATCAATAAGAAGACTGCGGCTGGCAGAGATATGAAAAAGATGTCCTCAAATAAGAGGGTAAAGTCAAAGGCACGACAATCGATGCTGACGCGAGGGCCAAAGCGATTGTCAGCTTCTAATGACCAGCACAAGCTGGATGCCATTGGTACTTTGCGAGGTATGTTGAGTGCTCGAGGAAATCGGGTAGCATTCGAAGATAGTTCCTTAAATCTATGGGATACTGCGTTGAACTACTTATACCAAGATAGAAACATATCCATGTGGGTATAGCTACCCCTAGGGCTAACTCGGAGCAACCACGCTCAATTACCTATTTAGGAAATGCCAATTGTTGAACCCCGAAGATGCATGATCTCTTCATTCCGATCAAATACTTGTATCGATATACTATTCTTGTCTCGGCGCTTATTCCGAGTCTAAGCCTTGCCGACAGATTGCAGAGTGAGATTTATATAGCACCCCTAACCTGTTTACGGGTTTTGGCGAGGCCTACATATGTGACTCATTGTTCTTTTCCTCTCCAAGATGCCACGCCTGCATATGGATTCGCGGAGTTCAAAGCTTGGCAATGTTCGTAGCAGCGGCCCTTCTGCTATATACAGCTATGTACATTATGCTCATACGTAATGCTCAAGGAGTTCGAGAAAGCGACCGCGTTATATACAGAAGTACTCTCCCACGAAATCCGCATGAGTGACAATGCACACTGAGCAGCGGGGGAGACAATATTAAATGATGGGAAAACTCCAGCTTCTAATTCTTGCGAGGAGGCTGCCCTTGCTCATGGTGATGTTCGTGCTCATGCCCACCTTCGACTTGTTTAATTCCTGAACTCATCATCACGGGCACCTCCAAAAGCTGCTTGTGAAACTTCGCCGGGTTCATGATCAGCCGCCTGCAATGCCGCGCATGAGCGACACTATCGAACCTCCGTTCCATCACTACCCCCGTTTCCCTCATTCGTATAAATTTTTCCCAGTAGAACATGCAGTGTGCAATATGCCACTCTCTGAGGCTCCAGAAACTTCCTTCGCTGTCTCCGAGAAGAAGTGCAACCTGTGCCTTTTCAATCGGGACAGTGCCATTCGCATCCGCATAGTAGGGTCATGATCCATCGGGTGACGGACCCGATTGGTCAAACTCCGCCGTCAGTTCGTCGTCGCGGCAGTCTGGAGGTAGCCAGGCTGTAGCCAGTGAGTCGTACACACAGTCTTTAGAAAGGGCCTCCTCAACGCTCCGCCCACAGTCGCAAAGGTTCATGGTAGGTTCCAGAGTCTCAGGTCTGTATACGTCGGGTGTGGGTGAAGGCGGTCAGTAATGTGGGATAATTGGAGGCATACGGACATAAAACCCCAAGACGCCAGGAGAATTGTTATAATTCGGGTTGCTGCATTGAAGCATCGGCTGTGGCTTCGGTCAGAATTGTATAGAGGTAGTTGACCAGTGACTTTGACACATTCTTCGTCACGACTGATGTCCAAAGAGCGAGGTCTGCTCTTGGAAACAAAAGGCATCTCCATTAAGTCCATCTGTAATGGTACGGGACACAGCTGGAGTAAGTATAACCGCGAGAAATCACTGCAGTTATATCAAGTTCAGCTAATATTGAGGGCAACAGCAAGCAAGGACATAAAGAAGAAGCACTTTGCTTTTGGGAGAGTCTTAAATAGTGGCACTTAGCAAAAAGGGTTCTCACTGCTCACAGCTTCTGTAGGACACTCAACTAGGCCCATCTCACTTTCGCTAGGTCAGGCTTGGAATCTTTCCAAGGACAGATACTGGGAAGGGACGATGTGTAGGTCAGTATTACCACTATTGATACACTAATGAGTGGCATTTGTTGGCTACTAACTCTGTGCATGCAATACAGCCAAGCGTAAACTCGGCACAGTAGCTCCGTAGTGGATCGAAAGGACCACCCTTGTAAACGGTTTGATTGTAAAACCTAGCCCGAGAGTAGTGGATACGGCCATGCTCATACTAATGGCGAGAAGTTAAAAAGAACGTAAGCTTACTGCTACTTAATCCCGGTATCATACCTTTCCAAATTTGATGAATTCACATGTAAGCATTATACCCGAATTATCCTAGCGTGTCTGTCCGCTTCATGCGCAGGCAAGCACTGTATTGTAAGGGAAAAAAGCACGTAAGTCCATTATTTCTTTTTCAGGAACGATTCGTACGCGATTCGGAGATCTTCGGATAGATTCGGTCTACTCCGCACCCAGAAATGGCAAATTCCGGATGTGTACTGGGCTCAAAAGGGTGCACTTGATGGATAATTATGGACCAGGCTGATTTGGTAGAATTGACTACCTGTACAGCGCTTCTTGCCACAATGTTTAGATATGGGCAAGAATCTTCCCGGCCGAGGGCTGTATTATGTGTTAACGGCCTAGCGCGTACTCAACCAACAAGACAGAAATGTTGTGATGACACGATGTACAAAAGCGAATGGAGGAGTGCAAAATAGAATTGGAAGGAAAAGACTTGTTTTCTAGCTCCTTGGAGTGGGCAGAAAGTGTAAACTTGACCACTGACTGGAAGTTCATCCTCGCTAGCTGGTGTCAGTCTGAGATATCTTCCAAGACTCGATTCATAGAATTTTGGAACGATATGGGTTTTAACTTGTCTAATTAAAATTTCCACCCCACGTTCATCAATGCCCACCATGTCCGACCTCCAGAGTATGATTGCCCAATGCGATTCCAATTTTGTCCGCCTTCTCTCCAGTGTACGGGTCTCCTATATCAGGAAATTAGCATTTTTACGTACGGAGTCAAGACTAATGGTATATTTACAGTAAAAAGGATGCACAAGTAGACCTTGCTCGAAGGCGTCGAACGAATGTTCCGCCATCCAGTACTCTAAGGGTTCCCATTTAACACATTGATGTTTCGCTTTATCAACAGCCAAAGGGTGTCTTTGTCTCATGTCAAACATTAGCATCGCCTGCATGTACTGGCTCGTGTTAATATCTCACCCAGCTCCCCAGTAGAAGGGGACGAGTGTAGTATCGGCGTTGCATTGCACATATTGCCTCAACCAATCAACACAATGCTCTGGATTCAAACTCGTAAGCATCGACCTTCGAGAACGGTCGGTCGTGATTGCTCCGGCCTCACTCACCAGTATGGTACAAGAGGCGTGCGGTGTCTTCCTTGGTCATGTTGGGATAGTAAGAATCCCGATGAATGTAACGATGGGATCTTTTCACGCAATGCAGCCCATGAAACACCGCCAACGTAGCAAAATAACCAGATCCATCGGCAAGTTGGATAATGCTGTCATCATGGGCGAATGTGCCAAGTTCATCTTGCAGACGAGTATTCTGGTCTATAGAGAGAGTCAGCGGAGCTGGGGTTTCCCATAGTCATGGAAGGATCGACAGGGTCCATACGTTGCATGATACTCTTCCAATATTCAGCAACTTCGAGCGTTGGTTTTCCGTTGAAATGTCCTGGTTTTTCAGAATTCAAGTTTCCATTGGGCAGATAAACAGGTAGCAAATGCAGCTGCCTTCGCTCATATCTGATGACATCCCGAACAGGCGCTGTGGGATAAAGTTGCGATTTCCTCCTAGCCAAGTGTAAAATAAGAAACATAATATCAGGTTCAGCGATAATAAGAGAAAATTAAAGCAAATGGAGATCTTGTGTCGCTTAAGCCAGGAAAGATCGTGGTGTTGGAAGTAAAGCTGGCTAAGCCATCGTCTTCGGAGCAAGTTTCATTTCTGTCGTGGAGCAAGGATTTCACAGAGGCATTATCCTCAGAATCCAGCTTTGAATATTTCTCCATTGAAACTTAAGTCGAGTGTTAGTGGAAGCTTGCAACCTGTTCAACGATAGAAGCGAGTAAATCAAAAGTGGTATCCGAAAAGTATCATAACTTGGAGTACTTGTAAGACACAAGGGTGCAAATTCCATAGGTACCTAGTACAAGCCTTGAGCGAGTAGGCATGTATTGTTGTCATGTAAATGATATCATGGCCATAGTAATCACATCGGTGGGTGCTATAGGACCGGTGCTCTAGTCGGGGGCCAATGAAAAGCCAAATTGTAAGCTTACGCGGTGATACACTCGCTGACATGCACTATAATCTGCAGGCTTTTGGCTAGGAGGGACAGTTTCAGCTAAGGTAATCCGTACACCAATAGCACTTCTCTAAACCTCTATACTGTTCTAGCGAATAAGAAATAAGAAAGTAAGCATGCATAGAAGCGCGAAGAGGGCATACGTAATACCGTCAAAATGCACCGAAGCTCAGTGTCTAGATCAAGTCCATGACAGGGGTAGACTCGGGCGCGAGATACTGGACATCTTTACACGATGGAAATCATGTCATCACCTGTGTTTTTCTGATACTCATGGTTTCAGTCAAAATATGGAGCTGAGAGAAAAGGCCAGAGGCACGAAACATAAAAGCTGGCAGTACTGCCCATTTGTTACATCCACATACCAGTTTTGACAAACATCTCATCTCAACACATCAGCTCTAAATCCTTCACCTGCCTGATTTTCAATTAAAATCACTCCCTAAGATGCACCTCACGAGCACTATCTACATAGCCTGAGCTCGGGCTATTGGAGCACAGGCGCTCGTTGTACACACTGGTACGGAAGCCGATGAGGCCTGGAGGATTGGCAAGCGTGTCGAGGCTGACGAGCTGACGAGGCCTAGGAATCAGTCCGTATATCTACTCGATCCTTTAATCCAGGAACATACTAGCCTTGAGAGTTAGGTAAATGATCGGAGTCAAACAGGAAACCCGCTAGGCAGAATTTGGCTGTGACATGATTCGCCCGAGCACGTATGATGACCAAACTTTTGGAAGGGTTGTGAAGTAATAAGATTGTCCATACCCGAGCGAGGAAGGCGCGTTCAAAGTCAACATCGCGTATATTCTTGGTACTGTCGAAGAATTTCTATAGCGTTATGAACATATATTGGATGGGAGATCCCTTGATGTCTTTCGTTAGCTAAAGGGATGAGTCCTTCCTCTTCTGTATTCATTTGTTCATTTGGTTGGAAAGGATAGTTTACCTACAAATATAAACTTATAAAACGAAGAAATGGACTTTGAATGGCCGAGGGTTCTCTTTATTGCTGTTGTTGCCGAAAGCATAATTCTGGCGTGCATTCCTGCATCTATTCGAACAGGATCGGGCTTTTGTATTGTCAACGGCGGACTAGTGAATTACTAGATCCGGTTAGTAAGTAAACGACATCCGTAATGAATATTTATTGCCCTGCTTTACCATCGATCTTTCCCGTTGTCTTCCTCGACTTTGATCCCCAGAAACCCCATAGCTGATACTATTCCGTCAAGCCATGGACCGGGCGAAGAATTGCCGTCATAATGATCTTTCCGTAATACCATTTCGAGTTCAGAGGTACTGTGAGATACGCCGGAGGACCGAGGGGAAAGTGGACATACTCCTCCATCACCGCTAGCTTGATGGATTCTCCACAAGGGTAGCCGTACCTCACTTGGAACTTTGTCACTGAGGCGCCATGATCGTTGGAATTCGTGCATATCGAGAATGTTGTGATTGATCGTATTTATGAGATCTTCCAACATAGCAGATGCATTCAAAGATCCAGCCAGAAGAATTGTTGGAGCTGTTTTAGGAAGATCAAGAGAGACGGGCCCGATAAAATCTGACGAGCTAGAAATAATTCCCTGCTGTCTTTGATTGTGTGCGGTAATTAGAGACCATAGATCTTCGCTGAGCGTTAAGAGTCGGTTGGATGTGGCGCGACAACGACGAGTCAGTGATGCAATTTCTTGTTGAGATGATGCAGAACTGAGATATTGCATGTCACTGACAAGTCGAGGACATTTGACCAATTCCATGAAGATGTCCTCCGAGACCTCGGTATAGACGGACCATTCCCCTGGCTTCCGTGAATCCTCCTCCTTGATTACCAGAGCCAGCTTCTGCCATTCATCTCCATCCAGGATGCAAGACTTTGCTTTGCAAAGGGAAGCATATATGAGGAACCCTCGGCAGGCGTAATAGCACGTACGACCGGGACCTGACATATGTGCCTTGGCACCTCGATTAAGCATCAGTTCCTTCACTGCGGAAGCATGGTAAAACCAAGCATCCCTGGTAGTCTGTGAATACATCTCGTACACGGCCAGCAGTATCAGGGTACCCAACATGTCTTCTGACAGTGCCTCATCCGAATCCAAAGCAAAACTGACCCTGGTCAAGGCACTTGTATACAGCTGCCTGCTTGTCTGCACTAGAGACTGGTTTCCGGAGAGACCGGAGAGGAAAAACGAGCTCAAACAGCAGACGGCTGCATCCAGGTAAGGTTTGGAACCGAATCTCTGCATGATGAAGTGGGGAAAGGTAGGCTCCTTCTGGAACCTATACAGACTGGAGGAGTACATAATCGGGAAAGACCTACAGACGAAGTCGGCGAAAAGATGCGGTTGCTCATTGATAAAACATCGTCGAACCAGCGAAGGTGAGGCACGCTCATCGATTGGCAGAGATCTATCACCGAAGGCCTCTCGTCTATTTGATCGAGATCCTTTCTCACAATTTTTCTCATTCCGTTCGCTATGTCCAGGAGGTCGAGTGGACCTTCGATGATGTCGTCTTAGGCGAGGGCCTTCATCCTTGAATATGACTGAACGACAATATCCAGGACAGGTGTGCCCACGCCTCAAACACTGTGTACACGCCGGACGGGCCTCGTCACACTAGGGATTTTCGAAAGGTAAGCGAATGTGTTCAAGTAGTAGTGATGTAGTCCAACTAAGGGGTAAAGAGAGAAGAGGGAGGATCGGAAAGGAAGACGTTCACAATCCATAGACGCATCTGACCTTAATGTGTCTCTCACGGCAGGTGGAACACCCTTTACTGCGCGGGACTCCAGGCATGATAGAATATTGTATCTATCAGACCGATGAAAAATAATTACGACATGCGGGCAAGTTTACATCCTAGAGGGCGACCCGGAAAAGGACACGTCAAGGGGATCGTCAGCGAAAGTATCCGCTGCCGCCTTTTGGGACGCGACACGGAAATCCACACACTTACACAAATGTACCTTTTGTATGGTAATCATATGCAACAGGTACCTCTGACTAAGTTTGATATCTCAACTACCCGTGGACTATCCATGGATAACTTGGAAATCCGAAATAATACCGTGATCCACGGGCGAGTGAGCCACCCCAAAACACCGTAGTAAAAGCGATAAATTACAACAGCATACATAATCTCAACAATGAGTATTTATATTATAACTTTGTTGTGAGTCAATATTCATACGATGTCTAAGAGGGCGTATGTAATTTTTGGAGTGCTCTCCGTGATATATTTAATCGATTCAGTCAAAAATACAACGTAATTTACTGCAATAGTATAAAATGATCATCGTAGCTATTCTAAGTTCCAGTATGTAACTATTAGTATAGTTAATAATTGTCTGTATAGATCTCAAAGAGAATACAGTCGTGGTGGCTGAGATATGGGACTACAAAATATCGCCTCTAATATGGTGTTTTGAGGTGGCTCAATTTATAGACTTCGGGTACCTGTAGGCTCTCTCAATGTTACAACATTAATCCAACGAGTGAAGTTGAGGCTGAGCGCTGCAGCTGACACCTTTATACGAGAAACTGCATGGTGGACCCTAAGCATTTTCTTGGGAGCGTCACATCCTTACTGATTGAGGCATCGCTGATTGAGGTGAAAAATCGGTAATACTCGCCAGTCTTGTAACGCGGGGGGCTTTAAGAACGTGTTATTCCGTTTCCCCTACTACCGCGCATTTGACAGAGTCCAAGTGGCAGTGTGTACAGGGAAATTCAAATTCGATCCTATCGTATTTCACCTTCTGGAATGGACATGGACGGCACGCTCTGAAGCGCGTCTCCAGATTCAGGAATTATTTCCGATGTTGCGACTTTGTTCCTGATCTTTGCATATCTCATATCACGACCGCAGAATTGAGGTGTGTTATAGGAGGAATTCTGCATTTAGTTTCGCGTGGTTTCGCCGATTTTGGTGTCGGGACGACTGGCGCGTCGTAGCGCCTAGGCATGGGAGGCAAGGCTGATTGGTAGCCTGGCCGCAATCGACGATCAGCTACCAGGATCTTCCCCTGTTAGAGTACGTACAAGTGCTCCGCCCCGTTTCTTGGCCTAGGAGCGCCTGTCCCCATTTCCAGAGCCGCAGGATCTCGTAAAAGTTCTTTATACCTTACAAGTTAGCTGAAGCGGCGTTGTCCCTTTTGTCTTTCTTGCACTTCCTCACGGTTTCTTGAAAGAGTGCTCTCCGTGTGTCCTTAGCTTTACTCTGCCTAGTTCTTTCTTGTGCCCCTTCACGGTTTCTTAATAGAGTGTTGGTCCAGCCAAATCGCACGTCAAAGCGCCTACTGCATGGAAAGCATCAGCTCAGCCCCTTTACAATCTACCGATTCCGAGCCGACGATATTATCATTCCACTAACCTGTTACCATCATGTCCGGCCTCGAGGCTGTCGGGATAGCCGCTAGTATTATACAGGTCGCCGACCTAGGCACTAAACTATCCGTGAAACTATTCTCCTTCTATCGGCGCGTCAAAAATGCCAACGACACCGTTCAACTCTTATCAAACGAGATCGCACTCGTCAGTGCGATCTTGCGTGAACTAGGTGACAATCTGAAAGAAGGGGAGCCCTCGAAGCTATGCTCGGATGAGGCATTTCGCACTCTACGCCTTGTCCTAAATCAGTGTTGGGATGTACTGGGACAGATCCAGAAAGTCGTTGATACTAATCACGGGTCGGATAAAAGTCGATTCCCGCATGTCACTGGACGATTTCGGATCGTTTTGCTTGAGCCGAAACTGGATCAGCTAAAGGTTAATCTGGAAAGGCTAAAGTCTACTATGTTACTTTTCCTAAATGTCTTTTTGTACGCGGGCCAGATTCGCAGGTATACATGTCTCTCCGTTTTTCCGTGTCCATGATAAGTTACTCATGATATTGATCAGCAATAATGTTCCAACGTTGGTCCAAGAGCAGCGTGACTTGATACAAAGTCTGTTGAAAGATGGAAGCATCGACCATCAAAAGCCACGGCAGTCAGATAAAGCTCCGGGATCTCCTCGGGGTTTCTTAACAGGAACTACACCCAACAGACCATCCTATACCACGACTGGTGGAACCTTCCATCCAAAGGACAGTGCCAATACCCACCACAGTCAACCTCCACAGGGTTCAGCGAAATATGCAAATAGCACAGGAGCTCAGACTGGAGCTCATAGGGCTAGGCAGGGCCATGGGTCCACTGAGCTGAAGGACTACAATATCCTCATACAAAACATGCTCGATGAGGTCGAATCGTGCCGAAACAGGCTCGAGAAGAACAGACATTCACGAATCAAAAATGGTGTCTTAAACATCCACTCTGGAGAGATAATGCGCTTCCGAATTGAACACGGGCCTTCGATCCAGATTGACCACTCGCTTTTTGCGTACGTATACTTCATATCTTTTCTCTTGTCTGCTTACTGGTGTCCACTGACCTTTATAGTGAGCAAAACCCAGACATGTTCCCCAAGCCAAAATCTTCCAGCTCTCCTTCTTCTTCCCTCGCAGATTCAGACCACCCATCACAATCGACAAGAATGTCTGGGGACTACTATATCAACTCGGACGAATCGGACTTCTCAAAAACAGACGAATCCGTCCACAGCCGGAGAGACCACACCTCCTTTCGCCGTCGCTCTATCAGTCGCCACCGTCACCCAGGAATACAAGGAGTGGCGTTGTCTCCGCCGCAGCAGTCCGTGCTCCTGCAATCTGAGCGCATGCACCGCTCGATTTCAGAGGGTGGACGACGTCCCCAGCAGAGGCGAGCGGTGATGATCTTCGACGAGCAGCGGGAGCCTAAAAGCGAGAACAAGAAAAGCAATAAGCCACAAGAGGTACAGCAGAAGGTTTATAGTGACTTTGATGAGGACATTTTGCCCTCATCATGGCGGCGTGTGGACGGCGTTGTCTCTCGTGAAGATTCCCCCCACGGCCGCGACTACGAGCTCGTCATGAGCCAGCGTCCTCTCGAGCGCGATGATAAGGGCCGGAATCTGGAATTCTTCAAGAACCAGCGAGAGACCGAGCGTCTACAGCGGGAACTTGAGAGGGCGTGTGGAAAGAGTAGTCTACGGCCCTTATCCCATGCTCGTGTGTCTCGTCTGCTTGGTGACGAGGAAGATGGGGATGGGTATGATTCCAGTGATCGCTTGCGGGCTGAACGTAAGGCCTGGTCTGACAAGGAGCGGGAGAAAGCGTTGCGCCGGTTGCGATTGAAAAAACTCGAGGAGGAGGAGAATGGAGGTACTAGCCTGGAGGAATTGGAGGCGAAGGTGAGATATGAGAAGGCAGAGATGGAGATCAGGCAGAAGAAAGAGGCAAAATCGGAGTGGGAGAGAGAGAGGGAAGGATTGATGATGCAGGCTGTCATGACGGGTAAGCCGACGGTGAATGATGAGAATGAGAAGGAGACGTTTTCGGAGGGTTTCTCGCTGCCAGACAATCTAGAAGACCTGCTGGCGTTGTGGACTACCCTGAATAGACAAGAGATTCTGCGGGGTCGATTCCTCGCATTTTAGTTAGCGTCCAACTAAATATCTTAGAAATATGACCTGGGTTACAGGGATTTTTATAGACTCGAGATTCAGGCTGCTAAAGCTATCCTTTGAACTGTGACTGTTATCAAGTGTCGAAAACAGTCTTTCGAAATGGATACCATTGGAACAGTTCAGCTCCGCTTTTCCCCTCATGAATCCTCGACTCCATCTCCATCTCCAACTCCACCCATCTCGATCTAGTTCACCTCCCACAGTTCTAGCACCTTTCAGCCATGACTGGACGACACGCTTCCGGACTCGGTCGCTCTTGGGTCTCGCACATGTATGCGCAGCTTCGCGAAGAGAGCCCAGTCCCTCAAGCCCGAGCTCCACCAGGTCCAGCTCCAGCTGTCAAGCGGGTCCAAATTTACGGGTGGAAAGGCAGCCGTTTCTGGCGCCAGAGGCTGTCATTTCGGGCGTCGATTTCACAGGCCCCTATATTCTAGTTGCAATTTAAAGGTATATATTGTATTGAAGATGGTTGCTGTAATGTATTCAGGTGAAGTTTAACAAAGGATCCTGTGACCAGTGGATGTTGTCAAACCACGCCATAAAATCGAGATCACCGTTCAAATCACAACCGTCAAGCCAATTTTCAGACAGTTCAATATCTGGCATCAATGGGGCCGGCTGGGGACACGCAGGAGAAAGGATTCGATCGAGCACACGACGAATAAATCTCGCTCCTTGTTGGGCAATCTCATAACCCCTTTCGTGCGGCGGCACGAGGAAGGTTAGATGAGAGACAAAATTATTGAGCTTCTGGATAGTAAGCGAACGACCGTTGGCAGGAAACGGCGTAGATGATGGATTCGACATCTGAGAGCTATTATCCGAGAGCAGTTTCGAAGTCAGGATGCCTGCAGCAGGAAGACCCATGTAGCATAACTAGAATAAGATGAGCTTATGAGGTCGCATCGCAGTATTGAGGACCAGAGGAGTCTTACATCCCACGACATATTCGCCATCAAGTGAGCAGGCCGGGTCTGCATGGCGATAATGTCTAACAGCGTGGTGACTATTTCCAAGGAGCTCTCAATGAGACCTTGTGAGTTTATCCCAAGGCGCTTTAGCAAGATTCGATGCAGCAGAAACTCCTGGTATGTAAATTCTATGTGAGCAAAGATGCGGCCCTCGTCTCTTGCAAATCTGTAAGCACCCGCTGCAGCTTCCTCTGGGGCCCAGTGCAAAAACGATGGAAGGTCTTGTTGCGTTTGGCGGGATTCCTGAATCAACTTTCTGTGCAATTTCTTCCGGTCAGCCCCTAATACCAATATGAAGTCTCTATTAGGATACGAACTCAGCTCTAGCTAGGATGTGCTGAGTTGTAGGACTCAAAGACAGTTCTAGGATACTTTCTCGCAGCAAACTTGTCAGTAGCACGATGCGAAGCCTGACGCCAACGGTCAGTTTCCCTTCGGTGTTCCAACCATTCGCGTCGAGATTCTGAAATGCCTTCTCTGCTTCGCTGCGTGAGAGCACCATATCCTCATAGCTTATATCCAAGGGGAGCGGTATAACACAGTATCGAGAGCAAATCCGGGGGGGGCGCCCCAAAGAAGTCGCTAGCTCCTTATCAATTGCATATGCGCACACCATGACTCGCTTTCGTATCTCTACCAAGAAGAACGGAAATTTTTCTTCAATGTCTTCACCGGATTGATGCAAACCGAACGCGTAAACGATGGTAGATAGATCTCCGAGTCTTTGCCAAACCCTGTAGTCTGTCCGAATATTAGCCATTTTCTCTCTTTCCCAGTGGGTAGTATTGAATAGTAATTACCGCTGTCACCATACATCAAAGTCAATATTTGCTGGTTCACGAGCCAGCAAAATGGATCGCTGGTGGTCCCAGCACCATTGCAAAATTGGCAGCAAATCTCTCCAACGGCGGTGGCGATATTTCTAAGCTGGCATTTTTCAAGTTTCCACGGGTTGCGATGGGTGAAGATCGGGTCATCGTCGGGTGTATGGAATAATGCTGTCCCCAACAGCGCGAAGACAAGTCCGACTGTCTCCCATCTCGCGCTTATTGAATCGAAATACTCAGGCAAATTCATGGTCGGATGTGTTCGGACATCTTTCGATGTGTTGACAAATATTTGACGAGACAAGGTGGCCAGCGCTGCATGTGTATCCCGAGAGTTGCGGACTGCACGATCATACATTTGCTCCATAGAATCACACAAGGCGCGAGTCAAGGGAGGACCGAGAAACCATCCCGGGGATATCTTGTTCTTCAATTCAATGATCTCATGGAACCAACTGATCTTCTGCAGATGTGATAGAACCTGGACCCCTAGCAACGCCTGATTGGGGTCGCTCGGTGAAGATGTAGTTGTTGGTACTGTGGCTGTTGGTATGTTGTCTGGTTCCTCGGCACGCAGGATATCTTCATACTCCCGGAATATATCTTTTGGGGACACCAACCCTAGAACTCCCGGTCCCAGACTCTTCTTCTCCTTTGGAGTCCATCGCGCGATATGCTGGTCGCGTAGCGTATCCCCCTCACCTGTAAGCGGTGGTAAACCTGACGGTGGGCTTGGCGCGGCTGTGCTGGAAATCTTTTGATCCAAACGAAAAACCAACTGATTGTCCGGGCGCTGCTGCCTCTTGGGTCTCCGCGAGATCACCCTGGAGGTTCGTGCGCGCGGCTGAGTTAGTGGAGCAGGATGGTAGAAGCACCGTTCGGCCTGGCCGTGACAGAGGCATCGACCGCAGATGGGACTTTGGTGGTCGCATCGTAGTTTGGACTTCCGGCAAGGCTCGCATGAGGACAGCTGTCCATTTCTACGAGGCGTTGCCATTTTCACCGAACCTATTTTTAAGATAAGAAACCTTTAATCAAGGCTTTGAGAGTTGAGATAAAGTGCCTGGTGAGTAAGGCCTAGGTATCGGACCTCATTAACTAAATCTCCTATTCGGGAAATTCAACCGGAACTCCGAATAATGGACTGTGAAACATGAATATTATCACTTAAGGAATCAAAGTCCACTACGGTAGCCGTGATAACTAGTCTCATACTCATCTTTTGGATTGCCTTGCATCGAATTTCTAGTGCCTCACCATTCTTACTGCAAGCTTGGTAATGAATTCCTTATCTTGTTTGCTGCTAATATCACCGTCGGGGTCCCGAAAAGCCTTCAGCACAAGCAGGGGAATCCATTGGTGATTGCTTAGCAAAACAGGGATTAGGATAGCGGCTTCAGACACTACCCTTGTCAGGAGCTACTACCAGCTATCTGCCTCCTACTGAGAAGTACGTGCGTACCCCGCTGTGGCACTTCGATCAAGCCGGATGGCGGACCGTTCCTTCCGGGCGTTTATGTGCGATCCCCTACATCCAATAGATTAATGTTGACGTGTGATATCTAGAGCCGTCAGAGGCTTAATACGGAAAGGCCAAGGCTTCTGAGCATGGGAAGAAAAAATAAGGTACTAATAAATCACTCCCAGACCGCAGCAATGTCGGTGTTACATGCAGCCCCTTCCTTTGGACCATACAGTGAGTCATTATGTCACAATCACGGACTATCACACACGAAGAAGACTGCAAAATCGTATTGCGCAACAAAAGTTTCGTATACCATACGCATGCTGCAATCGGTTTGGAAACTGACTCGGTGCATAAGGGGAGCGAATCATTTCAAATCAATTCAACATCAGGACGCCAGCTCTCTGTGCATATTGAACTGTTCCCCGCTGATACCATGGCATATTATAGCGAGGCTTCTGGCGCAGAAACGTGGAGACAAACTGCTTTACCGTCCTTGAGTTCGGTCCCTTTGAATTCTCATTCGTTTTCACACCAAAACTCGGCGCTCGATACCATTCAAAGGGAACTGTATACATCCCAACAGGTCTTGCACGACTTGAATAATGACGAGGCCCGCCTTTCCAATCCTCCTCTTCCGGAAATGTCATTTTATTCGGAGCCCCAGGTTCGCTCCTCTCTGATAATCCACCTGCGCACTCCTCCTTAGGAAAGGAAATAACTAATATTGGCCTTTTCAGGGCATAAATGCACTATTGGGGCTGGACTCTACCCTTGCAGAACTAGGGGGTGGTTCTGGACAAAGACGGGAAAGGCCATTTGAGCAAGGAACACCACATACAGTGTCAAATACCTTGTTTCATACGCCGGAATCTCTATTGAATGACAACCACGACAGCATTCCTTTCCATCTTACCGACGATGAATTTGTAAATCTCACTCTTTCTATTTCACAGGGCAGCCCTGTGCCTCGATTATTGGCTGACATATTTCGCACCAGATTCCAGAGGAGAGGACGAAAGATAGGCTCTTTTAGTACTGCAAAAACAGAAGCTTCACTTCGGGAAACAAGCTCAGGAGCTGATGCGCGGGTTGATCTCAACATATGACCTAGGGGTATCTCTGGAGATATTTTCCTCCGATCCTCATCTCAAGCAGTTGCTTGAGACCGCCGATACTATATTCTCTTCAAAATGGAAGTAGATCGGTATTTTCATCGAAGCGAACATCGAGCTCAACAGACAGTATAAGCCATAGTACTAGTACGCACATACAACGTGCCGCCCCATACAATTGATTGCTTTGTGGACGTGTCAGTTTTGCATCTAGCACCCACGATTATTAGACGCTTCCTAGCCGCTCTATCAGACCCATCCATTCGTATCTTGTTATTAAAGTTGGATTTCGTTTATGCTTCGTTTATAGGGTTAAATCGCTTTGGCATCGATCAAAGAGTCAAATGGAGAAGGATCAGCAGCGCTCAGGTAAAAGAGATTCCTGCTCCTCCTCATTGATGGCCCGAGCCGGCGGTGCAAGCCGAATTCGCCAGACGGCAGTGACCGCCAGGGCAAAGAAGAGCGATGCCTGCAGAAATGGCAGTCCCATCCAGGCATCTCCAAGATGCATTCCCAGCCGAAACAGGCTGGCGAATAGCGGGCCTGCCACAAGCACACCCACCGACTGTGCGATGGCAATGGCAGAATATAAGGTGCCCACATGGTCAGGCAGTGCAAGCGCTGTGACCAGACTGCGAGTAGTCACTAGGAATGATGACCCAATTGATAGGATGACCTGGCCGCTAATCAAGATTGCTGGTGTCGGGGCAAGGAAGATAGCCGCGAAACCGATGATAGATAGGACGCCACTCCACTTGCTCATCAGATGGTCTCTATATTTCCCATGGAGATTTAGGTATCTGATGGCAAGCACAGATAGGCCTGGCATTAAGATTGAGTAGGTAAAAAGAGAGAATATACCGCGTAGCGAGATCAAAAGACTCGACTATTATATGGTTAGTTTCTGGCACCTTGAATGGGAAAGGGGGACATACGCGAGCAATGCTCCAGTCGAACTTCTTTGACACATACTGCAGAAGCAGATGTGTGGATTGTCGGCCTATTATCGTGACGAAAAACACAAGAATCATGATACACACATTAGAGTCGGACCAAATGAACCGGGTCGACTCGATGAATTCACGGGACTGTCGAGTAAACTCTCGAAATATTTCTTTCTTGCCCCGTTCCTGCTCTACTGGCTCATTTTCAGTATTCTGCTCTGTTTCCCGATCTGATTCCTCTGGGATTGATTGCTTCAGTTTTACGTCTTCCAGTGTCTCGGGAAGAAACACGACCGGGATCGTTCCTAAGACGATAAAGCCGACTCCTAGGAGATAGGGGAGCATTAGGCTGAAGGTCATCAGATAAGCGCTTATGGGCGTAGCCAAGATTTCCGCCAGGATAGCAGCAGAGTTCAGACGAAAGAGGGCAGTTGATCTGCGCATTTGTTAGCTTTAGTATCTTACAAGAACGCTAAAGGGCGAATACCTTTCATTTTCAGAGAAGACGTCGGCTATTATGACACAAACAATAGTAGAGATTACTGGATCGCCGCCGCCGATGATCTTAAATAGTGATGATAACCAGACCATCCGCAGAGGAATGTAATTTGACCATATGCCTATGAATTAAATGAGAAGACGTTCGAAGCTGTCAAATTAATGACCAACTCACAGACTATTATCACCCATAATTCGCCCAGAATGAGGCCCAGTAGGCAAAGGCACAAGACCGGCTTCCGTCCCCAATGATCCGAAAGGATTCCATATGGAAGCGACAGGAGGAGACCTGAATCATCATTAAGATAAGCATGCATTCGGTAGAGGCACTGGTATTAGGGCAAGCTACCAGGGATGACATCGAAGGTAGCCTTGTACCCTATCACAATAGCCAACTCTCCCTGCACAGCCTCAGATTTGCAAGCGTTTGGGTCCAGTAGAGCATTTCCAGTTCCTGAGGCCAAGGTCGCGTTCCCAGTGCCAGTCTGATGGAGACCGACCTGGTAATTCCGGCAGACGATCTCTTCGAAGACAGCTGTCTGCGGCGCGTTTAACATGAAAATTCCGAAATCAGTCGATAATGTGAGAATGGAACACACGATTAGGATGAGGAGTTCCTTTGATTTCTGAGTCGGTGACAGGGCTGAGTTTAAGACTAATAGGGGGTCTGTCTCGCTGCTTGGATGCATCTTGCCGTTGGCATTTGGTTACGTCCCTAGAGAAAGAGGGTTAAAGGGTGAAAGAAAGAACAGCCTCAAAAGTCCAGGAATACGGAAGTAGGCATCACCCTAGCGCCATTTCTCTCGCCCTCAGGTGCCCTAAATTGCCATTGTCGATTGGCTTGATGTGGTGGCATCCTGTTTCAGCCCCCCTCTCCTCCGACGTGTCTTCTGTGCTCTTTTCCCCTTCTTTCTTTTCACTTTTCACTCTTTAACTCCGAAAACAATATCAAGCTTGTAAGCAACCGCTGTTCTTTCTATGCTAACTGCTGACTCCTATGTAGGATTACCCATGATATTTTGACTCTGTTCTGACTGTTAACGTCTTCTTATCGCATCCCAAACATCGGACCTCGGAGTTCGGAGCCCAATCTAACCTGTCTTGAAATGAGTAATCTCGACTCCTTCAAGTGCGATTCTTCAACCGAACACCGATTGCGGCGTGATGCAAGAGGAGATAATAGAGACGATCGCAGCTTTGTTGAGTTCCTCCGCTGACTGCGATAACTCAGCGCCTCTGCTACTATCGACGAAAGGGTGCCCTCCGGTTAAATGCTCATGTAGCCATATTCTGTTCCGTCTTTCGTCCAATGGTAAGATGGCCGAGTTGGTCTAAGGCGCCAGGTTAAGGTATACCTTAACTCCACAACTAGCAATAGTTTCCTGGTCTCGCAAGAGGCGTGGGTTCGAATCCCACTCTTATCATGACTTTTTGCTTTTGCTCATTCTACCTCAATGCAAGGTTTCCTTAGCCCAGTTGGGTTATTTTTGGTGTCTTGCTGCGGAAGTGGGTGGTGGTGGAAAAGTTTTTAGGCTTGTGCGTTTTGCAGATCCCAAGTGGTTTGATTGCAAGTTGCAGAGTATATGAAATTCTTATAGATCCTATATCCTGTCTAGGCTAGATTCTCACTAGTATTTTTCGTTGTCAATTTTGTATTTATTCTCCTGGTTATTCTGCCCGTTCTATATCATATGTTGTTTGATTCTTATGGATAAGAACTGGACATGTACTCGAATAGGACATGCATCTGGTCTGCCCGGGACCCCCGTGGCTAATGGCTAGCGAACGACCTAGAACAAAAACAGGAAGAAGCCATATGAATCGTGGCAGGTTATAAGTTATGGACAAATAAGCAAAAAGATGACAAGAGTGGGATTTGAACCCACGCCCCTTTCGAGACACGGAGACAGTTTATATACCATCGGGATCAGGTGGACCTGAACCGTGCGCCTTAGACCAACTCGGCCATCTTGCCAAGTTAGATGGAGGATTCTAGCGGTTTTGACTTCATCAAATAATGGAACCTACCTGTGCTATATATGATTTGTGCCTTGGATACCGCTCACATGCTATGGATTATACCAGCATGTTCTCGGGGTTGAGTATTGATTTTAGAATAATATAGGGGCCCCATGTCATCCATCATTAGCCAAGGATGGAAACAGTCTAGCTGTATTGAGTCAACCCAGGTAGCAGGCAACGGTCCGCTATTCTATATATAGCATTCTCATCATGGAGCATCTGCAGGACCTATAGTCTAAGGTCTGGTGGGTACTTGTTCGTGTAGAGCCATGCTCCCCTGGGGCCCCCTTCAGCATTCCAAACATCAGCCTTTTCAATATCCTCTCACTTTACCCGCAGTTTCTGTGTATTACATCCAATTCTCGATCATTCGCTGTGCATTGCATCTTACTTTTTTGCCTTTTGATTACAATACAGTAGGAATAAATGGCTTCCCACGTCAAACCCGACATCATTTTGTATGACTTGGCCTGCACCAAGAACGTCAGCTTCTCTCCCGTTGTCTGGCGCATTCGCCTCATGCTCAACTATAAGAATATTCCTTACAAGAGCATCTTCCTCGAGTTTCCGGACATTGAGCCCACGCTAAAAGAACAGTGGGTTACATTTACCTCCCTTTGGATTTTCATTCTTTACATCCAATCCGCTTCGCTTCCCTTCCTTCATTTACAGGTCTCAATATGAAGACCTAAGTCCTTGTTTCACACGTGAAGAAACCCCAAGCTAATTCTAAATCCTCCAGTGGCGTGCTCCCAGGGGAATCCGCATCAGGATCCAAATACACTGTCCCCACAATCCAGCATGTGCCAACCAACACATACATTATGGACTCACTCCCGATCGCACAGTTCCTAGAGGCGACCTACCCAAACCCACCTGTCCCACTAACATCAGAACTCGGTCGCGAGATCGATACCAAGGCGCGTAGTGTGCTGGGCAAGGCCATCTACTCGTCAGTGATGCCGCGTGAGATCCGAATCTTGTCGCCACGCTCGCAGGAGTATTTCCGGCGCACACGCGAAGCCTCTCTTGGACATCGTCTTGAGGATCTGCTTGACGGGGACAAAGAGGAGCAGGTCTGGGACGGTGTTAGCGACGTTCTGGGCGCTGTTGGCGAGCTGATACGGACGCATAAGGCGGACGGTCCGTTTGTGCTCGGTGCCCGACCAAGCTACACTGACTTCTTTATTGCCGGGTCTCTTCAGTCTACTAGAGTGGTTGATGAGGGCGTGTTTCAGAGGATGGTTAGGTACCCTGGCTATGGGGAGGTTTATGAGGCATGTCTGCCTTACATGGCGAAGAAGGATTGATCGGGTAGAATCATGGGGTGGATGACTATCCATGTATTGTTGGTTGAGTCGATGATCATTCGCTAAAACTAGGCGACAAAATACATCACTGTAGCAGTGCAGTGTTGATTAAATAATGCCATAACCCGGTCGGGCGGGTTGACCATATACGTTGGTCCATTGATAGTCGTGCGACACATTGAATAAAAGCCACCAACTGTCAACCGAAGGAGAAAGTACTTAAGGATAATGTGGCATAAAATACGGCATTTTACCACTAGACCATAATAAAAACCAATGGTTCCTGTTTATAACCTAGGGGGGGGGTCATATCCCAGTCTGACAGATAATAAAGTACGATGCGATTTAGTCCTGACCTATACTACTCAGGGATTTGACAAGTGAAGTACGAGGATGAATACGCATGATTTGGAGCGGAAAGCCCTAATTTATTTTGTCCTCATGAATCCAAAACAGCCCACGTCTTCCATCCAATTGGCAAGATGGCCGAGTTGGTCTAAGGCGCACGGTTCAGGTCCACCTGATCCCGATGGTATACAAACTGTCTCCGTGTCTCGAAAGGGGCGTGGGTTCAAATCCCACTCTTGTCATATGTTTTTTTTTTTTTTTAAAACGAGCTCGTTTTG